TGCTGCAGTCCCTGCCCCTGCTCCTGCCTGAAGTGGCTGTGCCCTGCAGGAGCCCTCTGGAGAAACACCCTGAGAAAGTGCTTGGGGCATTCTCCTACAGGGCCTGGTGCTCAGAAATCCCCCCAAAGGGCTGTGGGACTTAACTCAGAAATCTGAGCTGCAGGGTGGGCCTTGAAATCTGCTGATGACTCATTCAAGGATTTTGAAGTGCTGGGAGGCATTTATTTTCAGTTAGTCAAATCCCCAAAGTAAGCCAATATCCCTCCAGTGATATCAATTAGGATATCAATTACCTTCAGAAATGGGTGCCCACGCAGAGGGGTGGTGGGTGCTGTGTGATGTTCCCAGGGAAGGGCTGGGACAATTCTCTCTGGGAGCTGACCACGTACTATGCTCCATACATCCCTGCCAGCAGTGGTGAGTCAGGGCATGTGGGGTAGGCACAGCAAGCTCTTCTGCATCCAATCATCTAGACTGTCCAAGAGTGGGAGCATATGATGTTCTATGAAGAACATCTACTTCACATTTAGTCCTTGAGTGTTTCAGATGAGGACATGGAAGACAGAAGTCAGCCAGATGAAACACCATTGAACTTACTGGATCTGACCTGGAGAGGGATCCATGAAGGCACTTACGGCCAGGTTGGATGGGCTCTGGGCAGTCTGAGCTGGTGGGGGGCAGCCCTGCTGATAGCAGGGGTTGGGGCTGGGTGGGCTTTGAGTTCCTTTCCAACCCAAACCCTTCTGTGATTCTGTGATTCTATGGTAAGTTCCATGGTCTATGCTAGTGAGCAGTTTAGCTTTCTTCTTCCCATGAACATTATTTTGTGCTTAAATTGCTAAGTTCCGCCTCACCCCCCCTTCCACTCTTTTACAGCTATTGCTGCAATTCCTCACAGCTTGACTTAAGTCTCAGCTAAACTCATTAACTTTGGCCAGCAAAGGTTGCAGCTTCATTGCTCATCCCTCTTTCTGGATATATTATGTTTATGTTACAGGCTACTATGCAAGGGTGCCAATCCCCTTAAAATAGGCCCTTTGGAGAGCAGCTGAATTCAATAGTCTTCTAACATGACAAGGAGCTTTCCAAGGCATTTGGCTGTGTTTTTGTGGTTGTGAAAAATCTGCTTTCTGAATGTAGTTGTATCGGATTGCTTGCCCCTAGGGAAAATCCACTACAGACATAGGCACGGAAGGGGTCATCAGCATTTACAGAGGCCACAAAAGTTTGGGATTTCTTCAGAGGGCTGGTAATAAGACTGTAAGTACCAAACAGCCTGGCAAATTGCTGTATCTCATTAGTCATGATAGCTGAGTAAAATGGTTCTTGTGGCTTAGGAAGTGTCTATGAAAACACAACCTTGGGCAAGACCCAGAAATTTTCATCTCTGCATTTGAAAAGCAGCTGGTTAAATAGCTGTGGCAAAATAATCAAGAAAGAAATGTTTATTTGCTTAATATGTTAACCGAGTGATTAACTGAGTAATGGGAAACACAGAATAAAGAAGAAACCTTTCCCCTCCTGTGCAGAGCACCATTTTTCAGCCTTCCCACCAGTTTTACACATTCCTGGAAAAACAAAACTAAGCTCAGAATTCTGGAGCTCAGTTGTGAAAGCTATCCTCGAACAGAAAAATCAGCTCAGTGCATCACTCCAATCTTCATGCAGCTCGTCCTCTCTTTCTTAGAGAATTTGAAAGGCAGTGAAAAAATTAACTGGCTGACACTGTCCTGTCTTATGAAGGGTAAGCATAACTCCTGAGTTCTGGAGTCTTCATGCAACCAATCCTGGATGACTCCTTGCTGTTTAATGCATCTAGTTGCATCGTTTTAGCAACTCAGCTTCTCACAGGTTTTGCTACCAGGAAACACATAAGTCAGATGTAGACTTTTTCCTAGTGTCATTTCTAATGCAAACTGATGCAAATAAAATACTTCATTCTGTTTCAGAGTCCTTACTTTTCTTTGTTCCCTCCTGGTAGTCCGAGCTCCCCACTGAGTCCTTTCTAAGCTTACTGTTCCACATATTCTTAGAGATATTAATTATTTGTAAATGCATTCAGTATTCCTGCTGTTACAGTGCTGTGTGTCAGCTTTGTAACAGAGAGTACAGGAAAAAAGTGTTCTTAATCTTTGAAAAAGCATTTTTTCTCTCTTTCCCCACTGTCTCATGAATTAATGTTAGATCATTTTCAGATGATGATGTAAAAGTGACCAAAGAATCCCAACACTACTGGTAACAAGCTGTGGAACAAGTTCTTACAGTGCATAAACTGCTAACAAGCAATATTCTATTTCTAACTCTAGGTGTAGGAGAGGAGTAATCATGTATTTTAAATGACCATGAAGATATAGCAGGAGTGTGTCAGGTGCAAAAGTATAAAGCTCTAGAGCCCTTGAGGTAAAATCATAGAATCATAGAATCATTACAGCTGGAAAAGACCCCTAAGAGCATCAAGTCCAACCAGCAGCCCAGCACATCATGCCCACTGCTTGTGACCCTCAGTGCCACATCCACACGGTTCTTGAACGCCTCCGGGGACAGTGTGACTCCACTTTCCCCTAGACAGCCTGTGCTACTGCCTCACTGCTCTTTCTGAGAAGAAACCTTTCTTAATATCCAACCTGATGCTGTAGGTTCTCCTTGCTGGCCCAGAGCTGTTAGCCAGGTCAAACAGAATAGAGGGGCTTTGGGTGAAGGAAGTTTTGGACTATCAGGAGAAAGGCGCAAGACTTTGTAAAAAGAGAAAAAAAGAATACCCTATCTTCCAAGTGTGCTCAGCAACCAAAACAGCACTTCTACTGATTAAAGCATAATAGATGTAATGAAAAACACTGTAAGCTATTAGTGGCTGCTACCAGTTACGCATTTGTTTTAAGCCTTTTGAGTGCTGGTAACTCTTCTTTTCCCTGGAAAATCTTTCCACATTATTACAGTCATTCCTTTAAACACTGCATTTGCAGCCATTTCTTATAAATTCAAGTAATGAATATGGGAGAACTCTGGATGACATAATAATAGTGCATCACACGCTACTACAGCTACCACATGTCAATCCCGGAATGATTAACTTGTGCAGGTGGGTTAACCCTCATAAAGATGTTCTGATGCTCAACAAAGCAGTGTGAGGCCCTTCAAGCAGAACAGGAAGACTTAAGGGCACTGTATTTCTGGGTCCCTGCAGCAGAAATGTGTATGTCTTTTTTATGCCAACCTGACACCTCTAGGGAGTGTCAGAACTACTCGGTATGCACTGTGCAGACAGTCCGCACGTTTACAGTAAATTTGACCCATAGGGATGCACTGGCTCCTAGCACCCATCACACTGCCTGTATATTGCATGTGCAGAAATGTGTAGTGAGCTCAGTGCTTCCACAGGACAATAGATACTCTGCACATGTGCACAGAGTCTGCCCAGTACTTCCAAAATTATCAGAATAGCTGGGGCTGGGAGTGGTTTGTGCAAGACAGAGCAAGGACTGTCGTTCTTTCCTGTAGATGTTTATGGAGGAATAGAATAATATGAAATGCACTCCCTGCACACACTGGTTTCCATTGTTTATGTGCTATGCAATAGATCTATTTTTAAAATTGCAAGGGGATTCAGATGTACAGCAACCTGCTCATATTCCTTAGTATAATATGAGTTTTAGAGTTTGTGGTAACCTCCGTGCACGTCAGCTCTAATCAGAGAAGAGAAAGGCAAAAGAGTGCCAGATAATTCTTGATCTGTTCTCTGTAAAACATGTAACAAAGCGACTCTGTTACTATAAATCTGCCAGACTTCACTGATAGCACATTAATCAACACAATAAAACTGACATTAATGTCTTTTTTTTTTTAATGAGAGGACTAATAAAGTGAGTTGTCTCACTCTCAAGTAGCATTAAAATCAGGCTAGAAATGTTATCTACAAGTCTAAGCACTGGAAGTAGTTCATTGGCTCCAAAAAGACTATGTAGTCTTTCATAAAGCAGGATCTAATACAGCAAGAAATATACTGTATTGCATGCATCTTCCCCCATATGCTAAACTGGGGAGTAATACTAATATTTACCAAATCCCCTACTCCTCCATCCTTGCTGCAGCTAGATTTCTGCTGATGTATGTGATCACTTCAGTTATTGAAATATTTGTGATGTTGTGAATGAAAACGTTAACAAGAGACACAAATACTTGCAAAAACCACAAATCAGTTATAAGAAAAAACAAATGCATCTTTATTTTTATTTCAGTGTTATGTGTGGCCCAGCAGTGAACTCCAGTCTTGAAATGAATTAAGTAGTGTTTTGCAGCTGATCAGGAAAGTGAATTAATTTGCAATTTCTCAATTTAAAAAAAAATAATTGTTCGAGTATTTTAGCAAGAAACACACTGACATACTTGAAACTAATAGTGACAACAAAGGTGTTTTTAAAGTGCACAAAGCATTAGCTGCAGTATACACACATCCAGCCACCATAAAAACTACAAACATCATGAATATGTTCACTGCCACGAGAGATTAGCTGAAATGTGTGCAGTGCTACAGCACCAGGTGAAATGCAGCAAATTCTTTCCACAAAGGTGCAGTATACAATGCTATCATATGGTGACCCTCAGTTTTGCTTAGAAAAAATAAGCTGAGACCTTGATATTGTAACCTAAATTCTGTTTAAAGAGTGATGGTCTAAGGGAGATGAACCATAGAATCAGAATAAAAGAAATACTGATGTCAGAAAAGACTTCTAAGACCATCTAGCCCAACCAGCAGCACATCACACCATGCCCACTGCCCACGTCCCTCAGTGCCACATCCACACATCAACACCTCTAGGAACAGTGACTCCGCCACCTCTCTGGGCAGCCTGTACCACTGCCTCACTGCTCTTTCGGAAAAGCAATTCTCCCTTATATCCAACCTGAACCTCCCCTGGTGCAACTGGAGGCCATTCCCTCTTGTCCTATTGCTGTTACCCAGAAGAGGCTGACCCCCACCTCAATACAGTTCCTCCCAGTCATTTTTCTTTGCCACATCCAACTCTGCAGAACTTCTCTTCTAGTACTGCAGCAGTATTCTCCTGTGCTAGCCCACAGGAATGGCAGAGAGGAAGGTGATGCTCATGGAGTCAGTACATTTTCAGTGCCAAACAGCAGAGGGGTTTGGAGGTTGGCTAGAGGACAGAAACAGAAGCCAGAGCACCCAAGAAGTGTGGGTAGTCAAGGCAACAGTAAAGCACTGCTGGCCTGTGCACCCTGCCACAGATCAGCAATTATGTGAAAAAGTTTTAAGAGTTTATGTCTTTCATATTACACAGTGCTAGCTCTAACACATCTAAGACTACAATATACCTATGATGCTGGCAGAGTCAATCATTAAAGTGGAACCCAAAAAACTTTCAGTGATGCTGATCACTGGAAAGGTATTTGAGAGGGTCTAAATAAGAAGTGACTTTCGCAGTGGAGTTTATTGCCTCAAACATTTTCACAAATGTAATGCAATACTGCACACTTCAGCAAAGCTAGCCCTACAATTTTATTAAAGAATCATTTGTTGCCTTGATCTTTTCTGAAGAAGATCGATCTATATGCAGACCAAAATATTCTGCCAATGAGGAATATTTTTTTCTTGGCTGGGATCCAAGCATCAAAATGTAGGCTTTTGTAGCTGTGGTGAGTAATCTGTCAGCAGGGAAACCATGACAGCCTAGAGAAGGAAGAAAGAAAAAAAATGCAATCACATTGGAAACAGATATTCTATAAAAATAAATAAGGGAAAAAGTATTTTCTAGCTCTGGAGTTTTGTGTTGAGAATTATTGGCCTGACAAAAAGTGCACACTTAGATTTATTTGCTAGAATTTCTGATGAGAAATCAGGAAAGAGCTGAAAATCACTTAGGATGTCCTGTATTGCAGCTGATAGGTTTTCTCTGTGCAGACAAAATATATTAATGGATGTTCAAGCAGAAATTCAAACAAAGCACACTTAGAGCAAAATCTGAGGCCTTTTTGTTGTGCTGTCTTGTATCCTCAGCTTCACCTAGAAAATGAAGTAGGTACCCCAAAAACATATGGGTTTCCTTGCATATTTCAGCAGAACTTCCATTAGCATCAGCAACAGTCGTACCTGAATAAGGACTTGGAAATTTATCCCAATTTAGCTTTCTGCTAAATATTTTCTGCACTAAAACATGAAAAATCCTCACTGAAGTTAAAAGTGTGTCATCTACTCCTCCTGCTTTCCCCCTCATATTCAATATACATTCCAACAAACCTTTCGTATGGCCGTGAAATGAGAAATGGGAACATCAGGTAAATAAAACAGTGATGAAGCAGCTTTGTAGTGCTCCTCTTACCTGCATACGCCACAAGCTGCTGTGCTGGCTCAGTTTTGACAAGGTCTTACCTGGTTCACACTGTTATGATTTCACAGCCACGTCTAACTATAAATCATTCTTTTGGCCCAGAACTGGATTTACAAGGGCCCTCCATGGGTCTTTCAGATCCCATCAGCACGGCTCAATGTGACAGGTAGACCCAGGCACACGGTGGGGATGGAACACAGCCATGCAGCCCCCACCGCCACCCATTTCGTAGCTGCTCTCAGCCTGCTTTGGAATTACAGCTGAGCAAGTAATTCCTTTTTCATTTTGCTAGGTGAGCTGAAATGGGTAGAAAATAATATATAAACAAAGCCTATACATTTGTTTTGTGGTTTTTTTTTTTTTAGCTTCATAAAATACAAGTGAGTGATGTGGCTTAAGGGCACTGAGGGATGTGGTCAGTGGGCATTGTGATGATAGGTTGGTGATTGGACCAGAGGTCTTTTCCAACCTTAATGATGCCATGATTCTATAATTGTGACACTTCTCTTATCCAAACAAAACGTGTAGCTTGAATTTACTTTGAAAGTAAAAGCGTTTTTTGTTTGTTTTGCTTTTTAGTGTGTTCGGTAATTAAATATTGTAAAAAATTTTTAAAAATATGAGCACTTTTCATAATTTTAAGGCTAAAAATCATGCATGGATTCTAAGAAAAATTTGTCAATAATGTTAACTGTGTCCAAAATCTGAGGTTTTGGTACATACAGTACTCAACTACATATTCGCTTGGAGCACATTCAGAGTTCAGCTGAGAGCTATGATTATGCCATTTCTGTTTTGGTTTTTTTCATCTCAAAGTTTTCACTAGCCTTTGTCAACATGATGGTTCTAAAGCCAACAATAAATAACAGGCTACTGAGATCTGGAAGTGGTTTTCTGACGTTCCAGGAATGCTGTGAAAAAAGTTATGGCTTGTGTTAAATGTCAAGTGTACCCTCATGGTTCCCATGGATCACACAGTGTCACCCACACCATAACTTTGCAGGGTCCTTCAGAGCTTTGCTCTTGCAGTGCTTTATCAGGGAAATTTCACATTGTTTTCAATGGCAGTTTTGCTTGAGAGAAAGCTGCAGAATCTCTAGCACTATCTTCTATAAGTGCTTGGGAAACTGCTGTTTGCATGTCCAGTCCCTGGGACCTCAGCATTTCACATGCTTTACAATGGAGCAGCTAAGTTCATCGTTAGTATAAACCCAGCAATTCAAATACAAAAAAAGTACTAATAAAATTCATTTCATACTGTAGGTTTGCCTTAGTAATAAAAACTGGAACAAACAACTGCAGATTATTATCAAAATAGGTCATATTTGTGTCAAGAAGTATTTGTGCTACAAATGTATGTTGCCTACAATCAAAACTGTGATGTACTGTGCGGCGCATTCGAAACTTATGTACTCATATTTATGGTTTATTGAGGGACCATACTGAGTGCAAGTCTGAAGTGTAAGGCAGAGCAGAAGCTGACCCTAACCTCAAAATAATTTTTTTAATTTTTATTTTTTACCATAATTGTCCATTTTCTGTTTTCTGCCTCCTGGAAAACCAGTGATCTTGGAGAATAAAATACTTCATCATCAACTTCTTCTGGCTTTCTTGGTAAACAATGTAAAAATGTCCAGTTGGAAGCAGCAGATTTCACAATCTGTAGATCAAGAAGAATAAAAAATTAAAGAAATATGCTAGAAATTAATGAAACCTTAAACTGGTAAAAGAGTTAACAAAATTTATATTAGCTTCCACTCTAGCGACTTTGATGATGAACTAAGAATAATTCTGCTGACTTCAAAAGACCTGCTCATCTGTGAATAAGAGGGGAAAATCCCCATTTAAGTCAGTAAGAGTTCAGTGCTGACTTCACAAAAGCTAAATTTTTACTCCTATTTCTCTTGCTCCAGTAGTAGGAAGTAAAAACCCTAGTGACCTTGTGGATCAATAAAGTGCAATTTATATTCAAGTGCCATACAATAATGTAATACTATTGATAATTTCAACAAGAGCACATTAAACTATGATTTAAAAGGCTGTGATATTTTTTCTTTTGATATTGTTCCTCATAACACAGTGATCTAATATCAATGAACAATGAAGTTTTAAGCCAGTTCGGAGACATACTCATTAATAGTATTTTATGAACTTATGTTAAAATACAGTCAATTAAACCAGTAATTCTATCAGCAAGGAAAATGTCCTTTTTATCTTGGATGATTTATGACTTTACATTTTCTCTGCTTTTGCTCTGACAAGCATTTCAATGAGATGATTTTTAAACATATATAATCAGTGCTTTATATACTGGCAGATATACACAACATTGCCTGAAACGCTGCCCAGGTTATGGACTTAAAGACAAAATCTGTGAGTTGGTCATCCTAAGTAAAATACAAAGAGTCTTTTCTGATGCCAAACAAGAAAGAAGTAAAGGATTAGCTCACTTGCACTGGTCATGTTCTGGAGCTGGATCTCACTGGGAAGCTCTGAGAGAGGCTAGGACATGTGACGTATACAAATTAAATTTGTTATTTTTGTGAATTTTCTGGCTGAAGTGGTGTTTGCATGTGGTTTTACTGCAGCTCCCTTCAAAGAAATACCAAACCCACGTTTTGCTAATGTTGATTCTTACAAATCTGTAGAAGGATGAAGCAAAAACGTGATCTGAATTATTACCTGCATTGTAATCTGATAACCTTGAAATGCCTTCAGTCTTCTTCTCTTTTCCTCTTCTTGCCCCATGCTTATCCATGTATCCGTAATTAAGACATTGGCAGCGTTTGCAGCTTCCAAAGGATCTGTGGTGAGAAGCAACCTGGTACCATTCTAATGTGAATAAAATAAAAAAGATCAGGAAGTCATGAAGCCTTGATTATAGCAAAAATAAACTATTTAAACTACCAAAAATAAACATTTAAACTACAACTTACTAGCCAGGCTGTTTATTAGGCTCATACCTCTTTGGAGTACTGCTCAGTTATTTTTGTTATTCTGAGGTCTGGCTCAAAGCCCTGCCAAAAGAGATGATAGATTACACCATGGAACATGTATAAGATCTTTAATGACCATTAACACTGATTAGGAATATACTGATTGAAACATTTTCTGTCAGAAGAGACTGTCTTTCAGCACTGTAAAGCTTCAAGAAATTAATTAGGCTTCATTGCAAGTTTATTTTGGAGATAAACTAGTGGACATTATTCTGATAATGTAAGGAAAATATATTTCAGTGGTTACAGAATATAATACCTATACGATTTAATTTTTTGCTCTAACCAATTCTTTGTTTTATATTCTACATTGCACTGTAATGCAGCATTCTAAAAAGGTGCACCATCAATCTGAACCAAGACTTCCATCAGTTTGAAATAGCTCTCACATTTGTGGCAGGAAGGGGATTTCGGTGCCTTTGTAGTATCTTCTCAAATTGAATGATCATCCATCCTCTGCAACTTACAGTACAGTAATGCATTCCCCTCAGTCCTTCTGAAGTTGAAATCAGAATTACTCCTGTTTTGCATCAAAACAACTGAATCACGATTCTGAACCTTGGTCCTACAATCTGACACTTGAGATACAAGCACTGCTAGCTGAGGCCTTTTGGAAGCATTGAGCTGGCTGAGATGGGACAGGCAAAGTTCACCCTCCTTTCTCCATATGTGCAGTTTCGTACCTTGGGAGTTGCAATGTGGAGATGCATTCCCAGCTTTGCAGCACTTGTCATGATGGAGTGGAGGACATTGTTTCCATCCCCAATCCAGGCGATGGTGAGCCCATTCAGACCACCGTAGTGCTCCTGCCAAAAGAATCACACATTCCTGATGTTAAGTTCTTGGAGAACAGAGCAAGGTGATGCCATGGGGAGATGGTTGGTCAAATTGGTCTGGTGCTAAGACTGACTGTTTCAATGCTAGATGCTGATAATATAAAACCATAGGTTTAAATGAACTTGCTACACACACAAGATGGATGGTGAGAGAATGCTCCCTATGTCTCAGAAGAAGCCCTGCAGCTTTCTCTGATGAAGAACACATTGACATATACGCTGTATGGTGAGGCCCAGGCTGGGAGGCACAGCAGTAAATTCAGCAATGAAGTGGTATAGCCATGGCTTAGTGCTCGTAAATATTGGTGAACATTAGAAATTCAGGGGTTTGCTCTCAGCTGTACAGCCAAGGAACACAATGATCTTTAGAGTGTGTATATTGCCCTCACCTGAAACAGCCCTACAGTGTCAACTGTAGCTTTGCCTAATGGCACTCACAGCCTGTACATGTATGGCTACTCTGGCTCTCGGTCATCAATGGATAAGGCCTAAGGAGGAACAAGAGTAACAGCAGCTTGTATTTCCAGACTAGGATAATTTGAAGCCTTTCAGTAAGGCTTGTTATGTATATGCACATTTACATGTACTTAAATTAACATCAGAAAAATTGTGAAGATAGAACCAAATATTTCTATATACCTGGCTCTGTACCACTCCACCTCAACTTGAAACACTGAAGGCATGATGGAGAGCCTTTTATTCTTAGTTCAAAATTGGGCCATGAAACTATTGCCTTGTATGAACTGGAAGCCAGACAGTGTTTCAGCACTTTGTGTGACATAGCTCAATGGCTGTCAGCTGGGATAAGCATCCACACTGCAGAGCTGTAATGACAGGCTACCTTGCAGACAGACTCAGCAGAAATGCCAAATGGCTGAACAAGAAGAGGGCTGAAACTGCACTCCCCTCTCCTGGCAGCAGCTTCTCCTAAGCAAATAGCTGTGAAGTCTTTCCAGAACAAACTTACTGTCAATTCTGCCAGTGTGCACAATCTTGAGTCAAAAATAGTAGCATGTGAAATATTTAATGACATTAAATTTAGTTGAGATCTACATCTGAGTCCTGTGCTGCCTGCAGTTTAACAGCTAAAACTATTGTAAAACAATAGGTTTTCTTCATTTGCAGGTTGTTAGACAGAAATAGCCTAATGGGCAGAGCTGTGATGCAGGGGCATTCAGAGGAGAGCAAAGACCTTGGACACGGAAGCTGTGATGGCATAACAGCTCTGCAAGTCTTTAGGAATCTTTCAAAAGCTTTCCACACCTCCTATCAGTGATGCTCCCAGAAGAAGGCAAAAGTAAGGCATTTGTTTAAGGAGTTGTTTCCAGCTAGGGGTTAGTGATAGCTGAGACACAAACCCACAGCCAAGAGCAAATGAGACAACCCTCAGTTCTTCTGATCTCACTATTTAAAAATAGACATCACAGCCTGTAATGCTCAAAGCACTGAGTACTGAGTCACAAATATATGGCTATGTTAAATAACCTCCACCTTATTACCAGCTGCTACCCTGAATTAAAAGAAGCACAATGCATATTAAATACTTTTCTGTTTTCCCAAAATACTAGCTGTTATGGATGAAATATGAAGAACTGAAGATGTCTGTGTAACAACCCTCAAAATCTGTACTGCAAACTGCAAATCTACAACTGCAGTGACTGCTACACAGAGTGCGTGTAGCTGAGCTAATCATAATGAAGATGTTTAGCTAATGGAGAAAGTCATAGCCCAGGCAGAATCAAGCTGTGTGTGTGCTTGTGGAGCCTATTTTACATCCCATGCTAAGCTCTATGCTGCCACTGCACACTGCTGCTGCAATTCCAACCTCTTCATTTGAAGTCAGCTCACTGTGACTGTGACTGTGATGCCTATCCTCAGAGCACACATCCTATATTGCATACATCCCCAGCTACCAACAACTTGAGAAAGATAAAATAATTGTACTGCCTTACCAGAAAGCTTGAAGGCAATACAAAAACTGCTGCATATGAGACATACTTTTTGTTCTTCTATTTTACAGTATAGACTTCTTCAACCACACAGAAGAAATCCTGTTAAAAGAGTTTTGCCATGACCGTAATGATTCAGGTAAGCCTTAATCTATACAATACACTCAGATCACTGGAACCTCTGAAGGTACTTTTCCTTGCACCACTCCCCAGTTTTTCCAAACTGTGTTATATTAATATAGGCATTTTACCTGCTTGGGTGTTCTACACTTTCTCTTCATATTTGGAACCTGACTTTGGACTTCTAGTAAAGCCACACAGAAGTATTTAGAAATTCTGGAGCTCCTCTCCCTTATGAATGCCTCCTCAGCAAGCTGGTGACTGTTTGTGCAGTGGAATAAAACTTGGCTTTGTTAATCTCAAGGAAAATCCCTACTAAATAATTAATGTCCATTTTACAGTCAATTTTCTCACTCTCACGCTTATTCTACTGTTTCATTCTGTTCTTAACCATAGTTACAGTATATCAGTGTATCAAACCATGGGGTAAAAATAAGCATGCTCACTGTTGTATATTTAGAGAAGACTAGTTTAATTAATGAGAGACTTTCATGTCTGACTCTACCTGGAATTGCTTCCAGCTGGACTGAAACTGACAGTATTTTAAGTTATCTCTGAAACATTTGGCTTCAGCAGTCGTAACAACCCTCAATTAAAACAAGCTTTTGAATGATGAATCAATAATCTGTCAAAATTTTTAATGGAAAGCTTGTCAGAGCTTTAGCCCTTTGGGAGACATGTATGATTCACTGAATGAAAAATGGGGCCATGTCTACTGGCTCTCAAACTGAGCTGAAGGCAGATGCTGCGTCAGTTGTCTTATGTATTCTTACTTTGGTGTTTGGCACAGCATACTCTAGAGAATCAGTCTGGATCTTAGTTGGGATTCCTAATTGTGAGAATAATTATGATGAATGGTGATGAATTTGAAAACTCCATTAACTAGAGTTCTTTGTGTTACAGCTTGAGAAAAGGCTGAGAATATATGGTATCTTTCTTCAAACTGGGCAATGCTGCAATTTGTGACAGTATTTAAAAAGGAACCATTGATGTACTAACTATGCTAAATGTTTCTCCATGCCAACCATTTCTTTCTGAAAAAGAAATTTCCCTTCAGACCAATGACATAAAAGCTGGTGGCATACAGATCCACTCTAATTACCAGTCTGGCTGTCCTGCATTCAGCTACAAGTTAGCTGATTTGGCCAGTGGCATTAATATCAATTGAATCAATGTCAATGCATGGTGTGTCCCCAGAATACAAACTGCGTGATGCTGCATGCCAGCCAAGCTTTGCAGAACAGAAATTGTGAGTCACAGGTTCTGCCCAGGAGACAGAGTGGCAGCAGGCAGGATCAGGAAGCGGCTGGTTCACCCCTTCAGCACAGTCACAGGCATAAAATGACTCTCCAGGTGCACAGCAACAGCACATCAACTCATAGGCTTTAAAATCCCCACACTCTCCCAGTCAGGTTGCAAAATGTTCACAACCATTTCTAGTGGGCTGTAACTCAAGAGCAAACTCAGCACAACTGAAAATTTTAGAAAGCAATAAGAGGTATGGTAAGGAAAATATCCATAGGATTCTAGAAAGCATGTGGCAAAATTAATAGGATTTAGGAAACGGAAGAATAAAAATGTGCTAAACATGAAAAAGGTCAGCGTGCACGTGGAGCTCCAGTAAGAAATACAGGGGGATAATAAGGAAGAGAAAAAATTACATTTGGGGTAGGTACTGACTATACAAAAGGGCCAGATCCAGGCAGGAAAGTACTTACAAATATAAGGAAGAGATTTCTGAGAAAAATAAGCTTCATAAATTCTGCAGTAACATGTAAATTCGGGGCTATCAGTCTATGTCACTATTGCATTTTGCATGTATGCATAAATCAAATAAATTGCCTTTGCAACACAGAAAAACAGTCCAAATGTTATATGTGAACTTTTAACTGATTTAAAGAATCAGCGATACTATTCAACATCCCCATATTAATCTTCTTGCAGGTTGTGCTCAGATAACATCTTTCTGCCCTGTAGAGAATCACATGAGATGTTTGATTGCGTAAATAACAACCAGACCCCATGACTCCTGCTTCTTCAAGCGTTAATTCTGCTTCTGTGAACTGGTAACGTTCATTATATGGCTGAAATGCTGTTTTACTGCATGCAGCTGGCTGTAAAACCAGTCTACATCTCAGTGTGCTGTGCAGAAAAGAGCAAAGTTAACATGCAGTGCCAACACCCGTGGTGTGCTACTGAGAGGGCCTGCCTCCCCTCTCCTCTCCTTCCTGGATAACAAAGTGAGGGTGGAAAGCAAATCCTAAGCCAGCAGTGCAGTGTGCCCTCAGCAAAGTTGGGTAGCCATGCAGTTGTCCTCTAGAGAACTCTTGCCATGAGCTAAAGAACATGATGGAAGGGCCAAAAGCTAAATCACTCCTTGAGATCTATGTCTGCAAATGCTCAGTTCATCATGATCCCTGTCCACGTTGGATGTTTCTTTTGTCTGAGCCCTAACTGATAAAGCCCTGTTTTCATATTATGTCAAACAGGCAGAAGCACTGTTCAAAGACTCCTTCTCCAGTGTTTGATGCAATAAGGACAGTCACTGCCGCTGCTGCCAGCCTGGGTATTTACACCAGGGAAAATCCAGCTTGTGGGGAAATGTTCACCTGGAGTTTCTACCACAGCTGCCCCATTCCAGGACACAATAGAGAAGCTGAGGATGATTATCACAGGGCATCTACTTGTTCTGCTAATCTCAACAGTTTTCTCCCTGTTGATCAGTGGAAAAAGATCAGTGGAGAAAGAGTTCCATCCTGGAGGGTAATTGAGATGTTCAGCAGTCTCTTTTCATTGACTAGAGATGTGGTGCTTTGGTGCTGCAGTCAGTGGCTTGGAGCTATGTGGGATGAAACTAGGTTTGTAGGCAGATATCAGTAGTTTTGTAGATTACTAGTCATGATTATGAGTGAAATCTGCTTTTCATAATTGTGAAAATGCTAATAACCAAGGAGTAAATGCTAATAACCAAGGCATAAATGCTAATAAGCAAGGTAAGATAGAAACCTCACAAAACAAGCCGTAATACACATCTGGTTTATAGTTGCACACAATGTTGAAATAAAAAGATGATATGTGGTGTTTGATGATGAATTTCTCATTATGGTTTACCATCTTACATAGCTGGAACATCTCACTGAAGTTGGCTTAATAGGATCTCCAAGATGTACCATATCTTGAGGGACACAAAGTGTTTTAGTCTCAATTTTACTGTTTTTTGCTGGTCTCTTCATTTTTAGTATTGAAAATTTTAAGACAAACATGAATCAAAATAACAAGAAGTAATTTTCTCTAAACGTACGAATGTTTCTGTATTCACAATTTAAGGCATGAATAACTTGTTATTTCTATCATAAGATCTTTTCCACATACCAAATGTCCCATAGCAGAGCTGAGAAACACAGCTGAATGAATCACAAAATTATCCCAACTGTCCTTTTTCAAGCAGTGTGATTTTTATTCATTCAAAAAGCAAATAAGGTCAGAAGAGTTCATCAAAATTGTTAACCAGCCCTGTAATACAATAATCTGTTTTAATAAGCTACTTCCTTGATTGATTGTAACACACCATAGTCCTTCCATTCACAGATAAACATCTGGCATTCTATGTGTAAAATGCTATCTACATGCAAAATGCTACATCAAACCAACGTATTATGAAATTAGAACTAAAAATATGATCTTTATTATCTATTCTTTTATGTGAGCAAAGGTTAAATAGTTTTAAGAGCCTGAATATTAGGGATTAGCACTTGTAACATTACCTGGCTTTTCGAAAAACAAGTTTGACCAGTTTCCTAAAATATGGATAGCAATTCCTTCTAAGTTGTTCATGGGTTAGGGCAGAATCAAGATCGAACTACTGAGTTTTTTAGAGCCAGGGACAAGATTCCCATTGGCATCAGTTGAGCCAGCATCTTGCCTTTATCTTTGTATGTAACCCTCCCTGCAAATTTTCTGAATTGCAGCCTAATTCCAATGAAGTATTTAATTTTATGCTTAGCTTCAGTCCCACTACAGCTGATAATGCTAAGTAATTGTTTTAAATTAAGCAGGTTCTTAATTATATTTCTGGATAAAGATCTCTTTAAATAACAAGTGTCATGTAATTACCACTTGAAAAAATGTGCCACTAAATAGTTTTGAACCCGATTTTTCCAGTGTTGTTAAGCAGGAGTTATACTGGTACCTGAAGGGTTAGGTAATCAGCTAAAATCTGGAGAGGATGGTATAAATCAGACAATCCATTGATTACTGGGATCGTGGCTTCTTTCGTCATTAGGTCCAGATCATTATGCTTATAAACTCGAGCCAAGATTGCATTTGTCATGCTGGACAGCACCCTGGGGGATGGCAGAAAATATCCAAGTCAAACATAATAAATACATCCCCAGTGCATCCTTCAGAATGCAGCATATAAATATTAATGAAAAGCGGTAATGAATCAAAAATGTTCGGCTGTCTGAATTATTTATGATGCCCCCATAACACACTTAAATGCAGATATTTAACAAGCTGCAAAAAGTAAGCAGTTTTACTTATTGAGAAACTATAGCAAGTAAATGAAAGCTCCTGATATTTCTTCTTAGCTTTTGATTGTAGCTAGAGCATCAATAAACGCTAAAGTAAAGGAACTAGGATAAGAGATTGTGCAATATTGTAATATTTGAAGAATTTGATAACTTTGAATAAGATTTCTTGAGTCTTTTACCAAAGGAAAAGAAGTTCTGAGTGTGCCTCTGTACGATAGCTTGACCCTTGTGAGGACTAGGACTACAGATTTGTCTTAGATTACCACAATTACTTATTGATCTTAACAAAGATAGAAACAGAAAGCTGACAATAGCAGCCTGTTCTTTCTCCTATCTGCAGAGCTGCACACTGACACACATAGTCTCAGAATTACAGTCTGAGTTTGAAATTCAGTATATGGATGGGGACAGGCAGGAGTCACTGTGACACTCTGGCTTTAGCCTCATTTGCCAAAGTGTGACAGACTCAGAGATTAGCATGGTGGATTAGCATAGCATACTTAGTGTGCCCTGAATTCTTTAGATAAATTAAATATGGATAGGGGCTCTGCATTTCTCTGCATTTCTGTTTTAATCAGGCCCTGAAGCATGACTTTGAAGTAGCATTTTGTGTGCTTTAATGTTATCTCTAATAGACCTTAAAACAAAAAAAGAAGAGAGTGGATAGGAGAGTGTGAAAAAACACTGCAGTATCACTTTCTGACTAGCCAGAAAGGATTCTGTTATCCTCTCTTGTAGAAATATGGCTGTTAATGGCATGGCCTTTACACACACAAATTTCCTGATGGAGTAAATCAGTAACAGTTTTTTTTCTACTGACATCAGACATGCCTCATACAAGCAAACCTCTTATAAAACGTTACAAGATTCCACACAGACCTCTCTCTGAAGACTACTGATAGTAGTCGTGAGTGAAAAGAAGAACCTGAACAAAGTATTTACTGAAGCTAAGCTATTGGAATGATTGTTTGTGTGACTATTTCTCCTCTTAGCTCACAAATGCTGTCATTTTTGTTTGTTTATTCTAGCTTGAAGGACGTGACTGTGGAAAACCTAAACTAGACATCAGAGATGAGACGCATGGCCCATGTTGTTACCATCTAACAGGTGGCTAACTAAACAAGGTGCACTTAGTCCTGCATCAGACAAGAAAAAGAGGTAATTACATTAGAATTATCTTGGACATTTTTAGGATTTTAGGTCAGCTGACTCCTATCTCACATGACAAATAAAGTATTTTAAGATGTTCAAGTAGTGAACGCTGATGGATCTTCTTCTTACTCTAGTAGCTACTAGGACTACTGGATTCTTACTAGCAAAATCTCAGTCTTTCTGCCAGCATTTCTAGATGTCATATCTTATAGTAGGAAGTCCAGGTGGAAAGTGAGTTAATACTTTGCAAAATCAAAGCCAAATTGAACTCAGATAGAAATCAAACCCTCATCTAAGGACATGAAATCACTTGTACTCAAACAAATTTAAAGGAAACCATGTAAGGCTGGGATTGTATAGGGGAAAAAAAGACTTCAGAAAAGATGAAGTTTTGGAAGGTGAGGGGGAGGCTTATCAGGTGACTGATGGATTTGATGGAGTTACCAAGGTTCCCATATTATTATTGGCTACAAGTCTTTGGTGTTTTGTTTTCTTTTTCTTTTTTTCTTTCTTTCTTTCTTTTTTTTTTTTTTTTGCAAGATCTTGAGTCTGTAAATTTCAAAATCCCAGAACTTGGAAATACATGAGTACACTGGAATGCTGCATATGAATATTTTCAAAATAAGTTTTATTTTTACCAAGAAAAGCTGTAAAGTTTTTCTCAATATCCATTAAGGATTTCAAAAATAAAGGCAATAAGGTCTTTCAGTGTGGTTGTCTCTGTTTTTTGTTTGTTTGCTTGTTTGTTTGTTTTTAACACAGCACTGTGATTTTAGGTCATTTGCATTCATTTGGGGTAGAATATTCCTATCCAGAGTTTGGAGTATTCTATGTAATTTTTGAAAGTATGTATTAATTCAAAAGGTTTAATTATCTGAAAAGACTAATTCATTGTGACTGACAGTAGTAAAGAGGCATATTCCTGTAGATTCAGATGTTCATCCCCTAATTACGCTCATGGACTTGTAAAATCATCCTAGGAGCTCTTCAGTACTGAACCTTATGGCCACTGAGCTATCATGGTGCACAGTGGAACTACACAATGGAACTTCTCTACAGTGGAAAATACAGATACAGTACTTACAGGTATTTCATTTCACTTAGGATATCAGACGTGCTAAACAGCACTGAAAAGATACTTAATGGGTGGTAATTGCTACTGAGTTGGTGTAAATGTAAACATCACAAAAAATATGTCCTTCTGTGGATCAGAAGACGGCTGGATTTGGCATAGCATTCATTTCTGAATAGCTGAGAGCCTTCAGAGGCCTCTGCTGCGTAAGGGCCCTGACCACATCCTTCCTCTTCCTGAAGGTTTGCTTGATAGTGCCCAGGGTCCAAGAGATGAGAGCTGCCCCTCATTACTCTGATATTAGAGGGGATGGGTTGACAGTCAGCACTGCCAGGAGCTTGCTCAAAATGCAGGCTCTACCTCTTCTGTCCCAAAGTCCCATCGCCCTGTTACTGCACTCTATCAACATCCTCTCTTACCTTTCTCTGCCAAGAGACTCTTGTGTTGCAATGATCAGTGAAAAAGGAAGAAAAGGGAAAATTTTGGAGAATACTTACCTACATCACTTTGGGGGAAATATCTTTAATATGTTTTCCATTTGTCTTTAATAGTAATCATTATATATGTTTGACTGGAAAAATCCTGCAGTTACCCTATCCCAGTTGTAGCTGGGATGCTTGTGCTCTGAAGCTTTTGAATGAGACACTTTGACGAAGCTGTAGCTATTCTGCTTAAACTGGGGCAATATGTCATGAAATATGAAGAATCTCTTTTGAAGGGAAGTATTTCAATCCCCTGGCTGTCTATGAGCTCTGCTGAACTGGCAAGGTGGACACATTGGGTTCAGACTCTTTGTTTAATTGTGGTGTAATTTGTAGGCTCCATCCATGAGTTTCCATCATTTTTCAATCATTATTAAACATGTAGTTACTGAAACAAGGAAATGGGACACACTTCCTCTGAAACATGTGGACTCTACAGTGCAATGCATTGGCAGTGCAATGTATCTAACAGGAAGTCAGCATTTTTAAGGTCCAAGAGAATAAAGTTTTTTGACTTTCTGCTATCAATACCCATATGTCCTCCACTTCAGTATTTAAAGACAGGAAAGGAAAACTTAAAATGTTCAAATGTTTTATATTTTTCTTATATTTTCCTTGTGTTTCATCAGAGAAACACATCATTCATCTGGTGTACAGAGCTACGGACTCTGTGAGCTGATCTGTAAATATTTAAGACAGTTGGAGTGCTTTCTAACATTTTCCATAAGGGAAATATTATCTTTCAAGAATCTTCAAGACAGGTTTCAGACTGATCAACTATTTCCTTAAGCATCTACCAAATATGTAGCAATCAGTTAAATAACATTTACCAACCTTGCTGTATCTGTGAGACTCTCATTAGTGCCCAGGTGAATGTCTTGTTTTGTAAGGAAGGAAGGGTGTCCTCCAAGGAGAGCAAATCCTGCAAGGAGAACAATAAAAAGGAAATTAAGCACCTGCCTCCACAACCAAGACTCAAAATAATTTTCATGCAGTAAAACTCAGCAGGGCATCCAAATGTTTCAAATGCTTAAAGTCTGACACCACAAGATGCAAATAAATAGGACAAAACCACTCAAATATGATGCTTTGCTGAAATACTTAGGCGTGAATTGTGATCTCTGTTAATAGGAACAGCCATTCAAGCTGCAAGACTGCATATTGTTGAAAGCATCACCATGGCTCCCTGCTAAGTTAGGTAGCTCATTTATCACGCTGAATTTCTGCAACATTTACATTAATGGACTTAGTGTCACAGAACTACAAAAGACCATCTGAGTCATTAAGTCTAATTCCACATCCTTGCAAAGATGCGTCAAGGATGTTCGCTCAGATAGAAGACTCCAGGTTTCCGCACACATCACAACAACCTTAAGCTTGGTCACAAATGACCAAGTGTATTAAAAACTGCAGTGTGTCAGAGAAAGATGGAATGATCTCAGGCACTGTCAGTATCCTTTCACCCTGCAAGAGTAAGGAAATTGTAAGGTGAGTCAGTGTACTGAATGGATTAGGTCTGATAAATGAAATACATTCTTGAATGGGAAACCAGGAAAGGATCTGAGCACCATTTAAGAATATAAAACATTTGGTGCTAAAAGTTGTCTGATGGGATATTTTGGACAGACAAACTTCTCACTAAAGGCAAATCTCAAGTTCTGTTGTGACTCATTTCTATTGCACCTCCACAAGAAAGCTAACACAGGCAACCAGCTGACACAAACAGAGAGGCAAAGATCTTTTTTCACCACGCTTGAGTCTCCCTGCCTTAGCCTGGTTTAAGTGTAAAGCCTCCTTCCACTAAAACTCTGTAAAGTCCATCGTGTCCAAATATCCAGAGGATGAGCCATGAGGGGATTGTTTTATGAACTTTCACAAAGGGTTTAGCAATGGATCCCACACCTGAGAAAGTATGAAGCAGAGGATTTGAACTGGGCTATAGGTAGCCCTGTAAGGCATTTACTGTGCACTCGGGGATGTGGAGCTAACAAATTTCCTGTTGTTATGAAGGGGGAAAAAAAGCAAAAAGAAAATCAAAAGCTGCTTGGGCTGGTTGCAGCCATTAGATGGCTCTGCAGACATCGCGAGGAGTGCAGCTTCAACAAACACATTGTTAAAGGCCCCTCAAAAATTACTAAGTTGATCCTGCAGCTACCCTTCAAAGCATAATCAAACCAGTAAGGAACACTGGAGCTTTAAGAGCTAACGACAAGCAGTGAAGCTCAGACTGCAGGTGTGGGCCCTGCTGCTGGGCCCTGAGCACAGAGCAGCCCTTATCGCATTCTGTCCTGTGTGGGCACCAGGGTTGAGGTGAGGTGCTCCACTTTGGATCAGTTCAGCCAGTCTTTAAAATGAAGCAGATAAAAATAATACCGTCAATTCATTGTTTTTGACTGCCTCTACTTCCCTGTAAGTACAATTAAAAAAAATAATGATGGTTCAAACCCCACCTGAAGGGCTGCTCCATCCAGCCAATGTATACTCATTCCAGTGAGTGGGTCTGCTCTTAATTTCCCTTTGCCGTCATTAGAGACTGTCCCAAGTTTCAGAGAGACCAGATTCAGATTCAGCGAACTTCTAAGATGGAAGAAGTTTTCACTCAGAGGGTGGTGACACACTGGAACAGGTTGCCCAAGGAGGTTGTGGATGCCCCATCCCTGGAGGCGTTCAAACCCAGGCTGGATGTGGCTCTGGGCAGCCTGGTCTGGTGGTTGGCCACCCTGCACATAGCAGAGGGGTTGAAACTAAAAGGTCATTGTGGGCCTTTCCAACCCAGGCCATTCTATGATTCTGTGATTCTCTGATTCTTATTCTAATATTACTATTTTAAAAACTACAACCAATATGCTGGTTGAATCACCCTTCTTTCCTGGTTATTCAGAAGCCTTTTCGTATTACGACAGGAAAAATATTAAGGTTTCCCTAGATATTTTCACCTCCTCTCTGCAGCTTTGCCAAAAACACTGCATTGATGGGAATGTGTGTGCACACTGGTGCCTCAACATTACTGCAGATATCATTTTTAAGTCAAGATTTCAAAGATGAATTGTCATTTGTAGTAACATTTCCTGTCAGACTTGTATGCCTTTTATTTTCAAAGTTCTATGTGATTATGTCAGTAATTTATATCATGAAGTTCCACACAAGACAGCAGCTCTTCACTTCAGGCTTTTAAATATGGATGCTTCAATGGGTGTTTCATACCATAGACAGACTCCCATGGACACATTCTATTTTTCTGTAAGTGATGCCCAGGCAGAAAAAGAGGAATTTGGCCATTTATTCAGAACTGCAAGATGTCAGGCAGCCTATTTGGAGCTACCACTTTGGGTCTGTGTATATAGCAAAGTCCTAATGTGTTGTTGGTTTTCTGCTCATGAACTGGCCATCTCTGCAGGGCCTGGGAATGTACTTCCATCCCATACTTTCCATCTGAAAATACAGGAGCCTGTACTCTAGCTTTGTGTACAGTTACAGGAGAAGAATCTGTGTTTTAGATGATTTCATTCAGATTATCAGCATAAAAAAAAATAGTTGGTGACTTTTGAAGATATGCAGGCACCTACTCGGCAAATTAGTGCACACTGGAGTGCAATGTAAAACTGGAAGATGTAATCCTCTTTGTTGTCACAATCTGGTGATTCCCAAAGCCACACGCTAAGTGTCATCTCAATGCTGGTATCTTTAGTGAACTGTATTGGACATTTATACTAGAGAGACAGAATAGTTTACTATCTCATTACCACAGGTTTCACTCCTGTTAGGTTTTTTTTTATTGTTGTTGTTTTCTTGTTGTTTCTGTTTTTTAATAAATGGACCTCAGGCTGTGGCACACTATTTATCCCACTTACACAAATTCTTTTATTTAGGACACGAGTTCTGGTGATTATACAGATCTGAGTTAAATCACTACTCCAGTCTGTCTCTGGTATGTTGGGTAAGCAGGCCAAAGTGAATCCTCTAGTTTGCACATTGAATGCCTAATTATGGGGCTGCCTTGCCATAACCAGGACGCATGCATACACACACATCTTCTCCAACTCAAAGAAAGGCTCTTGTTTCATATTTCAGTATATCTGGATTTGGATTTTTTATTTTCCTCACTGCTTGCCATGATGTATAATCTATGAAGTATCTTTTTATTTAGACTGGTAACAAAGAACACTTATAGGCAAATACAGGAGCAATCCTTAAACTTCAAACTTCATTTTTTAAAGCTAGCCATTTTTAAAGCATTTTTTAAAGCTAGTCCACTAAGGGGAGAGTAAGCTAAAAGAGTGCTCTTGCCCCTCTGCAATATGGGCAAACTAAATAACAATAGTAATTCCAAGGAAAATAAAACATCCTCTTTATTCTTGTGATATATGATATCCCATGTGATTCCATACCTACTACATTAGAACATGAAAAGTAATGCAGTTATTTCCGTGGCAGTAGCCTTCAGGCAAGGATTTCTTCTTCCCCTCATCCCTGTGGTAAGAAGAGTGAGCTGGGAGTAATTCTGCTGAAGTCAGTGGCTGTGAACTTCTGTAAACCTGTTTTAATCTTCTGTATTTTGGTACAGAAAAGAAGATAGACAGAGCTTCTCTACCCGCATTGTTCCATTTTTACCTGTCTGCATTCAGCATTTGTGTAATGCTGAATTACACAAGTCATGTGGCAGGACTTGGGAAGAGACTTCCACAGAGATCATCTTATACAGCAATCTCCTAGGCACTGCACAGAGCAGATGTTGTGAACAGTGCTTTTCAAGTCTCCTTTAAACTGGAATACGTTGATTTTTATCTAATTGTTCCTGAGAGATGCAAAGCTTGTTCACATCAATCTGATCACCAGAGCCGCGTCCCACAAGTGACCTATTTCAAGGTCTTGAAGGTGCAACTCTTGGGAAATGCTATTTGAGATGACTCCTGGATTCTGTAAGCAAACACTCCAATCTGCTTCAATGTACACTTTCTCTGGGCATTAGAAAATTGGCACAAAATTAGCTTATTCAGCTAAAAGGAACATGTGTGACCCCACATTTGTTTTGAGTTATAAATTTCAAGGGAGAATTTGTGTATATTAAAAAGCAGCTGAAATATATAGAGTTTCCATGGGCATAAAAAGTTTGAGCCTGCCTTTGAAACAAGCCTTAGGCTTAGAGGACTTAATACCAAATAACTGAAAGTGTGAAGTTAATGTACAGGAGTTAACTTGCATTAAACTCCCTTGTGAGCACTCTCACTCAGAAACAAATTGGTTTTATTTCATTGGAGAGTAATCCCTCTTGGATGAATTTATGTGCACTAACTCCCAACCTTAAGTTTATTCATTTGAACTTTCCTGAGCTTCCCCATTCCATAAGCCTTCAAAACCAAGTGTTTGCCTCAAAATACAGAAGCAAGAAGGATAAACAGATTCAGAGAATTCATGTGTACCCGCTCATATAGGAATATGGCAGGCAGCTGGAAACTGGCCTAAAAACTCCAGTATTAAGAGGTGGGTTGCCTTAACAAAGAGAGAATGCAAGATAGAAACACATTCATAAGTGCTGCTTTATCCGGAGAAATGGAAAGGAACAAGTCTGTATAAAGACCAGGATCAGCAGACTGTGTCAGAGGAGATGAAAGCAAATTCAGAAATGCTTGCAGATGGCCTATATGACTCTTCCTTGCTTTTTTGTTTTTGTTGTTTTGTTTTTTTTACCTTTTCCCTTACATGTTGTAAAAAAAGGTGCATATTCAACAGGTTTTCTGTCACTTAACCAGGGAGAAGCTTCTCCTTCCCCTGTTGAGTAAAAATGTACCCATAGGACAGTCACCAATTCATAGTTATTCCTGAGTTTCTTGGTGACATGCAAACACATGAATAAGTGATTTCAGTGGTCTCATTGACTTCAGAGCAGCTTCCATGTAATTAAAGATATGCATGTGTTCCCTGTGTCTGTAAGACTATATCCTAAAAGAATAGTGTTCCACTTCTGATCTTATTAGGCTAATACCCTGGAGTTTCCATCAAGTTATCTTCCTGTGTATGTAATCGTTAAATTTCTTTTCTCCCTAATTTACATCAAGGCATTACTATGATTCCCAGTCTAAACACATACTCTGGAATGTGACAATGGTAATGCATAATACATTACAAAGACATTTATTAGGGCTTGCAGAAGATTAAATTAGTGATGCTTACTAAAATACAAGCTTGCAGATGTGTATCACGGTGGGAACTTACATCAACAACACTTTGGCCTGTTACTTTGTTTCTGATCTACCATGTCGGAATGATCTGGTGATATTTCAGAGGCCAAAGGGATGTTCATGTAACATTAATATGCAAGGTGAAACACAGTCAGCTACCATTCTTTTCCTATTTTTGCTTTAAAACTTTAGGCATCTCTTCAGTAAAAAATGCTAAATAGAAAATTACATAGTGTTTTTAAGTGCATGCTCACAATGTACAATTTCAAATAAAATGTGACTGTGCCATTCCTCCAATTTACCTGTTTCTGCAGATAATCTTGTTCTTGTGCTTCTCTTCTCAAAAATCATAGCCAACGATTTTCCTTGCATCAAAGGCAAATACTGGACAACAGGAATGGAAGGCATTTCAATTTTATAATCATTGCATGATTTCCAGTGTGAAATACTTCTTTCACATATTAATTCAGCATTAGAAAAGTTACACTTGTTTTTTTTCTCTTTAAACCATAACGTAGTTTCAACTTTTTCAAGGAGAACTAACAATGAAAAAGGATAAAGAGAAATAACTAACTCTAATGACAAAAAGCCACTGTACTTTGGCAGATGATTTGAACCAGCATTAAGTAGAACTCTGATGCTAATTTTATTCCTACAGAGGACGAATAACTATTTTCTATTTCCTACATTTAATGGAGCATATATGCCATGTGTGAATGGATGGGGTTGGCCAATAACAGGGAGCTAGCTGTGCAAAGCTGTTTAACTTTTTCATTTCTGTAGCCCTCTGTAGTATTTAAAGAATACCTCTGAACATTTTACAGGAAGGTTCTTCGTTCTGTAGTATAGAATCCTAGAATCACCAAGGTTGGAAAAGATCTCTAAGATCATCCAGTCCAACTGTCCAACTTTCACAAATATTTCCCACTAAACCATGACACAGGACATGGCATAAAGGATTGAAGAGTTGCAGTGATTATATTTAGAGAAAATCAGCTAAACTGCTGATTCCCAATATCTTTCAGAACAATATTTCAACATCTGAGTGACTTAAATATTAGTTAAAGCATTTTACCTCTCCTTTGTCCTTTATCCTTTGTTTCAAATCTGAGGCCACCCATAGCAAATACTTCAGTTCATCTGCTGTGTAGTTCTGTAGAGTAAGAAAGTCACGACCTTTCAGACAAACATTCATTTGATTTGGTGGCCCACGGCTGTGGCAAAAGAGAAAGAAAAAACATTTTTGGCATCTAACATGAAATTATACTCATTGCAAAAGCCAATAAGCAAGCAGCTGAAATCTGTCCCAATCCCCTCATTTGACCCAGCTGGATCAGCTGGATGGACTGCTTTGACTGGTTTCACTAGTCATGCTGGCACAACATGCCACAATGCAGTGTATTGATCACAGTGTACTGCAGGCCTTCTGATGTGTGTATGGCTCGACTGTGTGCTGTTTAACCAGACAAAACCAAATGCATAGCCACACAGGGCCTGGTGAAATTGCATATAAGTAGACTATAAACTGTCCTTTGAGGTACAGAACACGGGCAACTGCTTTGTGGATGGGTAGGACACAGACCACATTCCACTCCAATGTACAAAAATCAAGGCAGTCCTATATATGTTTCTTGATTACTCAAGGGACCTGGAAAGAGGATAACCAAATCACAAAATCACAGTGTTGCCGTGTGCTCTGGCCCTTCTATCACACCAGCAACATTCAAAGCATATGCAGTGCATTTACTCAAAGAGTGCACAGTGCCTCCAACTAGATTTATGACTTTAGAATCACATGAAATGGGATGTTGATGATCACCCAGAGTACAATTTCTGCTCTTTTAGATGAGGTGTATTAATAAAACGGTTGAGTCCAAGCTCGTGTTTCCACTGGCTTAAGATAACAGATAAAGTGGCTGATTAGCCCCTTCTTTTGCACCATACCGATGGCCATCTTTAGCATAGCACACTTTGCAATGCACTCTTGCTAAAGCTTTGGATGGGTACAAGCTTGCTACATTTTTTAAAAGGTAGCATTTTTAAACTGATCTGATGAAATGGAGTACAAACCAATGCAAACAACTGGTTCTGCAGCTACTGGTTCTATTGACAGGTGGGTGCCTCTTAAGCTCTTAAGCTCAATTATACCACCTACCCGTTGTCATCTCCCATTAACTTCTGCACGAGAAGACAGTGAAGCACTAAAACTGGTTACTCTGAGAGGATTTGGAATTACCACCCTTGAAGATTTTCAAGACCAGGCTAAGCAAATTACAGCTGACGTGATCTGCTCTTGTCAGGCTACAAGAACACTGGACTATGAATCCCTTTCTGATCTCTGTGTTCCTATCGTGATTCTGTTTTACTGCTGTGACCTTCGGAAATGTGTTCCCTTCCCGTGACCACATCTTCAGAAAGAGGGGCAGGAGTAGACAAATAAATTCGAGAGAAGAGGCATGAGACAACACAATTAAGTTAAAATATAACAGAAGGTCAAGTAGTTGGCATACTTCATTCTGACCAGGGAAAGAAATTACTTTGGATTGCTAGCATATAGTTTGATAAACATTAGGTTATCTTGCAGCATCAACCACTGTGTGCTTAACTTATAATATCTGTAAAACAGTGATGATAGACAGTTTATACCAATGTTACAATATAATGTAAAAAAACCCTAAGAATTATATAACAGTGTTATATAGAAAGCTTAGTAAATCAGATTATTCTATTTGAAATCTAGGTTTACTGCAGCTGTTTTCCATACTTGCCTTTCTATCATTGCTACCAACCAGATAAAGTTTGCACCAATTGCCAGCAGTGAAAATCCATAAATCCACAAAAAAAAATTATCACCTAGGCTTCAGGAACTCTTTAAGACTCTCACAGATAAGATCTTGGAAAACATTTATTTTTTTTTAATTGGAGGCAATGTAGAAATGATGAATAAAAATGCCTCTGCATATTAGGCTGAGTATGTGAAATTCCTGTGTATTGCTTTCTAACACTAATCGTTTGTTACATAATGCTGTTAATTCTATTCTTATTGACACCAACATGAAAATATAGGTGGATGGAGAATTAGATTTCAAGTCTTTAACTTAATTTGACTCTTGACGTGTGACAAGTATTAGAGGTGTCTTTCAGAAACACTGTCATAAAGATACTTATCTGAAGCCATGAGGGATGGGCAAGTTGATGCCCTTGAAGAATCAAAAATCAAGTTACATAGACAAGTCTCCTTGGTTAATATTGAATGTTATATCACATAATGCTTTTCCTGCATGACTCAAGTTTAAGTAGAGATAATAATAATTAATAATAATAATAATAATCAAAACAAAACAATCCAAGAAAACACACTGAAACTGAGATTCACCTTGTAACTTGAAAGAAACAATTCCCTCCCTCTACTTGCCATAAAAACTGCTTAAATACATAAGGACTTTCCATACTTCTTTCAGATATTTATCAACTGCAGTACCTGCAGTGTACACTGAACTCAAGAAGAAATATTCATTCTCGATGGTGCAGCTAAATCCCATGGAAAGAATTCATAACATTTCACAAACATTAAAAGGAAAACTCCTCCAGTCGCAGCACTTGCTGCCTCAGAAGGAAAGAAAGGGCACTCAAAATGCTAGCAGAAACCTTTATCTGAAACTGTCACTCCTTCCCAAAATTAAATTGCTTTTGTCTCCAGTTTTCTGATTAAATGTCACTAAATGCCAGACAAAACTAAAGGATAAGCTTACCAAAAATGTCGTGGCAGATGCTTGCTGTTCTTTGTTAGTTTTGAAATATGGCAAAAATTTTTCAAATTGAAAAGCATCTTCTTGCACAACTCTTCTCTCAGTCCTGTAGATAGAGTTTGCAGAAATGGAGCAGATGAGTTATGCTGCTGTGCAAACAAGTGGGGTGCAAAGAACAGACAACCTTACATTTGATTTTAGCAGTGTGGGCTGAGCCTGACTGGGGCCAAAACTGAATCTTTCTTTGGTCAAATTCTACAGATAAAGACTTTTCACAGGGTCCATTACACAACTCTCAGTTTGTGCTCTTCTGTGTGAGACCATCATATTACCACTGTGTCAATATCATTTTGCAGCAATTTCCTGTTTGTGAAATATTTGTCCTGGGAGAAAAAGGTGAAAGAATTGTCACAGCACAGCAAGAGTAGATTGGTGTTGGGGGCCAGGACCATGAGGGAAGTTGGAGGAGTTGGAGTTGGAGTTGGAAGGAGGATGTGGTGGGGTGGAGGTCAGCCTTTTCTCCCAGGCAACACTGATAGGATGAAAGTGAATGGCTTCACACTGTGCCAGTTTGTGTGTTAGGAACAATTTCTTCTCCAAAAGAGCAGGGAGGCAGTGGCACAGGCTGCCCAGGGAGGTGGTGGAGTCACTGTCCCTGGAGGTGTTCAAGAGCCATGTGGATGTGGCACTCAGGGACATGGGCAGTGGGCATGGTGGGGTGATTTGATGGCTGGACTAGGTTATCTTAGTGATCTTCTCCAATCTTAATGATTCTATGGTTTGTGATTGTGGTGGCCAGTGTGAGGAACTGCAACATGCACAGCCTTGTCTTTGCTGACAATCTCAGTCTGTTCTTGCTGACTTGCATCCAGCTCTTCATCCAGAAGTTCATCTCCAAAGCTCAGCCCCTCACTAGCTCCCCTCATTAGTGGGGATGCCTTCACTTCCTCATCTACTTTTATTTTAGAAATGGTTAAAAGAAGGGAAGAGAAACCTGGAAAACAAGACTAAAATAAGTTAATGGACATACTCTTACCCTGAATTGAATTGGGCAGAGAATTTCAATTGGCAACTGACTTTCTCTGCCATCTTTTACGAATGTGTTCACCATGATACCAATTGCTTTCCCTTTCTTCACTGTGTTTGAGCGACCTTCCTGTAAGAAGCTTCACTGCTGAATCCTTCAAGGAACATTGAAAATTATAAGGGTAAAGGGGAACCACACTGCTTTAAACTCTGGCTTTAGCTTAAGACATAATTTTAACTGATGATTTTAAGAAATAAAAACTGAAAAAAGAAGAAAAAGCAAAGGATTCCACCAAAACCTGGGCAGCCTGGTCTAGTGGCTGGTGACCCTGCACAGAGCAGGGGGTTTGAAATTAGATGATCATTGTGGTCCTTTTCAACCCAGGCCATTCTATGATTTTATGATTCAAACTGTAGCAATAGAAATTCCAGTGGTATTCAAAAGGTGCGGAGTTGAAAAACTCATAGAAGGCACAGTTTTATAGAACAGACGAGTTCACGTTTGCATTGGATGACAATACTGACGTAATTCCTTTATACTTTTCTCTCTATCGATATAGGTTAACAGCACATTATTTTCACCTTGCCGATATTTCTCAACCCACGTGCCCTGGAACACAGAAATCCCAAATCAACGTCCTCGTTGTCTGCTTTACGTTGTAACTACAGACTTGCGTAACGCGAGACGGTCGCCGCAGCCGAAGAAGATCGCGTTTGAACCCTGGTTTCCATGGGACGGCAGCAGCGAGGGACGGCCACGCCGACGCACCACCGCCGGCCGCCAGGGGGCGCTGCTCCCCACCCACCGCCGGCGGCTCCTCTCGTCGGCGCTCTCTATGGCCGTTGCCCGTGGCAGGGCTTCTGTTTACTTCCGGCAGGCCGGAGCGGCTGCATGGGGCGCGGGGCCGAGCGCTGGCTGCGCGTTGCTATGGCTGAACCCGCGGAGGAGGAAGAGCTGCCGGTGCCCGGTGAGTCGGGGGATGGGCCTCTCCGCCCGCTGCTGCCGGCTGGGGAGGGGACTGGGACGCGGACACCTCGTTCATCCGGTGCCCTTCCTGGCCGTCCCGCCTCCCTCCGGCCTGCCCGCCGTCTCGGCCGTGTGCTGCCGTCCTGCGTGGGGAGGACGCGGTAACGCTGCCGTGAGGGATGACGCTGGGGCTGCTTCGTTTTCTCGCCGGCGTGGAGCAGTGACTCGGTGTGAAGCGGACTGTTGTGTGCTCAAATGCAGAACGTGGCTGGCTGGCTGCAGAGTCAAAACTAAGTATCCTTCCTGTGAAGGCAGGCTGAGGGAGCCGGGCTCGTTCAGCCTCGAGAATCTCCAGGGAGACCTCACTGTGGCCTTCCTGTGCTTGAGGGGAGCTTAGAGCAGGACCAACATTTTACACGGTCTGATGGTGATAGAACGAGGGGTAATGGCTTTTAACTAAAAGAGGGGAGGTTTATGTTAGATACGAGGAAGAAGTTCTTTCCCCAGGGGGCGGTGAGGTGCTGGCAAAGCTGCCCAGAGAAGCTGTGGTGCCCCATCCCTGGAAGTGTTCAAGCCCTCCTGGTTGTATTGTGGGACTTGTTTGATTGTTTCTATCATAGCTTTATGATCAAAGGCAGTTGAGACAACCGGTGTTGTGAAGGCTGAGGGTTTTGATTTTGGGGGGCCATTTTTAGAACATAAGTATCTTTTTGAGTGTCACTCAATTTGGAAAACTTGATTGGATTTAAGTATAAACATAAGTGAGAATCCTTTGTCTCAGCTTGCTCTCAGGATATTTTACTTTTTGGGGGTAGTTTTTCACATTTCTTTTTCCTTTCTGTACCTAGTAGTTTTTCTTAGAGGGAAGTGAGAAAGTGCATTTACTTTAAAATGAATTTGTATGTCCTTAGAACACAATCACACCTGCTATTTTAAGAAATTTATGGAGGCTGGGAAGAATTAGAAGGACTAAATGTGAGCATAAAAATGAAGTAGTCGTGGTGAAATAGAACTCTTCAGCCATTATTATTTTATTAAAAAGAAAAAGATGGGTAACTAAAACAATTGCATTAATAGAAAATTGCTATTTTAAAAGGTATGAGGCGAAATTTACTTTCACTAGAATTGTCACTGGCTTTTTATATTTTTAGAATCAGGGGCTGTTTTTACTTTTGGAAAAAGCAACTTTGCAGAAAACATTCCTAGCAAGTTCTGGTTCAAAAATGACAAGCCGGTCCATATATCATGTGGAGATGAACACACTGCTGTTGTTACAGGTCAGTATTGGAAGTAGCATGTTTGATTATACATATTATATTTATATACAAATACATGTTTATGCATTTGGACAGCCATTTGTATTTGAATTCTAAGGTAATGTGGAAAGTGGGGAGGGGAGAAGGGACTGCTTATACTGGGGCTGTTGGATGCCTTTGTAGTTAATGTGAGGTCAAAGAGCCATTGTGAGTGAATCTGTAATAATTGAATGCAGCATCTTGGATTTAAAATAGGCACAAGTTTGTTCACCTTGAGTGTTTCCTGTAAGTCTGATGGTGTCCAGTGGACAATCTTAAATATGCAGGTTTGTATTGTGGAAGTGAACAGTGTCTATTGAACTCAGTCAACAAGCTCACTAGGAATCTGCCTATAATAATCTATAAAGCTGTTTCTCTGAAAGGAAGTTCTAAATGATTGGTTTACTGTCAATTGAAAACAGCCCTCGTAAAAATAACACAGAGAACTTCAGAAGATCCTACTAAAATGAGAAATAAATTGCAAAAGTATTCAGAGAAGCTCAAATGCAATACATTGAGCAGTCTTTCTGCATGTTCATTTTCATCTGTTTGAAATGCTGGAAGCAATACTCATTGAAGAGTTTGCTCTGTTTGTTACATGAATGAGACTACTCTTTTGTGATGAAAACATGTTAATTATATTGACAACTGACTTCTGGTAGATAATTAGACTTTATCTTGAAATTCCTGTGCATATTTCCAGGACTTCTTTCTTGAAGTACATTTACTGTTCATCAATGCTGTGTGTTATATCCTGGGCATTGCTTACTAAATACTTTCCTGAGATTTTCTTGCTGTGTCCCCAAGTAGAGTTGAAAATGCTGGATTTTCTAGAATTAACAATTCCAAGCGTGATAAAAGAATACAGATTTCATGGACTGCAGTGCAATTTCAACTGAAATTATACGATGAATTTTTCAAGCCTAACTTCACAGAAGATGAATTATGCATAAATAATTTATGTTTTGAACAAAACTTCACACTTCTTTTTGGATTGAACCTATTCTATTAAGTTGCCTGTTGCATAAAATTAATCAGAATGTAACCTGGGGCACTGGAAATTTTCCTTTTCCTTTTCCTTTTTTCTTTTTTTTCTTTTTCTTTTTTTTTCTTTCCTTTTTTCAAGTATCCTTTCATATGCTCACACCACTATATTCTCAGTTCAGACTGGTCAATTGAGATTGCTCCCTTGAATTCTCCCAGCATATACTCTTGCCAGTCCTGTTAGTCTAAACAGCAACAGTCCTCGAATTCCCTGTGTCCCTGTAATAGTGGCCGCTCGAATACAGCTTTGGAAGAAGTTGCATGCAGCACCGTTTCTCTACTAACTCTTATCCCTATTCTCCCTAGTATTTCAGTATCCCGTTCTCCCTAGTATTTCAGTATATTCTTCAAATGTTAAAAATGCCTCTGTAGCAGGCCTTTGGTCCTGTGGTATGCAGATAAGTCATGAGTGGTGCATCTAGATAATAAGTGCTTCATTTTCCCAGAGCGTTTGTGGAGAAGGAACTGCATAAGCATAAAATAAATAAGTCCTCCATACCAAACAGTTTTTTGGAACATTGTAAAGTAGAGGCAAAATTGAAGGTAAAATATTGTGCAGAACTGAACAAAATGAGAGAAACTGCATGAGTCATGCAAAATGATAAAGATGGAAAAGAGGACATCTATGAACCTCATTTGTTCTTCACAAGTATGCATGTGAACCACACGTTTCTGCTGTTAGATGGAGTTGGATGATTGAGTGGAATTAAAGCCTTTTGTGAATATCGAGGAACTGCAATAAGACCTGGAAATAAAGAGCTCCAGAGGTGTGTGGTGGTAGTGAGTTTGCTGGAAGGATGCAGACTTTGGGAGAAACAAGGAGCTCCTTGAAATCCAGCTGAACCTGACTGGAAGAGAGAAAAGAATTTCAAGCAGGTGTGTATTAATGCATACTTCATTTTAATTTCAGTCTTTATTTACAGGTGGCATTTCCCACACCATTTTTTTTTCCTCCTCTGGAGGATATGGTGGGAACTATGTATTTAGGGCACAAAGATAGATTAAAACAATAGAAACATGTCAGATTTACACTAACGTGTTATACTAACATGCCTCAGCAGTCATAAGTAAAACAGTCATGCAAGCTGATCAAACATTCCTTATAACTGGTTTGGGATGGGAAAGACAGCTGTATCTAGCAATTCATTGAAATGAAAATGAAGAAAATGTGCAAGAGGTAATATGCAGCATTCTGATAAAATATGCAGAACATTTCAAATACTTCTTTCATGTAATCCAAAATCAATATTCCCCTATGGCTTTTAGAAAGAAAAATGTAAATTAAGCATAAAAAAACCTCTGGTCCTTGGCTTTCCATGTCAGGAGTTGCAGTCCAAAATAAGTTCTATTGACTCGCTGTGGCTACAGGTTGGAATAGTGAACCAGTGATCACATTTCTTGCCCCCATTCCTGTATTTTTTAGCCTGAGAACACTTTATTTCCTGCGTCTTTTGTAACTGCAGGCTTTGGAAAACAATTTATTCATCCTGTTGGGAGATAGTATGAAGTAAGTGCCGTTAACCATATTTTTAAGAATCTCTTCCTAATGTCATTCTATTAATAATTTTCTACAAACCTCTTAATATTAACACTTGTCTTATTGTTTATAGGCCTTGATTTGAGTATACTAAGCAGATTGCTCACATTTGATCAAAGAGACCAATTCTGTTCACAAGGAGGAAATGGTGGAAGGTGCATCTTCTGGACTCAGACCTGGAGAGAGTTGAAGCTCCCAGTGCAAGAGGGCAGAAGGAAACAGATTCATGTGGACACAGCAGTATATGTGCATAGCTTCAAGTTATGTAAAGCACTAAATATTCAGCAACATAAACCAAAGAGACATTGGAATCTCTCTGGGTCTTTAGACATCAAACTCCATCTCTTCTCTCTACTTGCTGGCAAGCCATCAGAATATGGTTCATAACCTTTTACAGTTAGCTGCAAGAGGAAAATGAAGAATATCACTACGTTTGCATTAGTTTTTCGTATGCATAGGGGCAAGCAACATACTGCACTGTTTTTGTTTGTATGATGCTAAATATCTGAAGCATGACTGTTATTACCTCTCAGTAAAACTTTTGAGAATATTGTGACTTGTCTAAGAAAACTGATATCATTCCCATTTTCTGGAGCTGTATTTGAATTGTATATGAATTCTTGTTTACTCATGAAATAGCACAAATAAAAAAACCAACATGTTGCTTGGCATATATTGAAATTTTCTTCAGATAAAACTTGACAGTAGAATCTAGTAATAATTATTTGAAGTCGCTGTGTACTCTACCTGTTTTAGCTCTCTTGCACACTTATAGCATGTAGAAACCATGGGGAAAATGCATGGAGCACAGATGATTTAAACAGATGGCTGTCTGCTATTATCATTGAGTATTTCAGCTTCCTCTGAATTCCTCAACTGCTGTATGACTGCTTTTAGCCTGGTTTCATGGACCAGGGCACCACAGGACAAATGGAGTTGTAAGCAATCATGGTTGTGCTGGCAGCCACCATATGGGCTATTTACTAGTTAGGAGATGCTCTCTTTCTGAAGTCTCACAAAGTTCTCTGTTCTGAAAGATATAAGCATCTAGTGGCTTCTGTTAATATATCCAAATTAGTGTTGGTGAAACATCCACTGGTGATGTGCTTACGTCTACATGCTTTGGGGAGGTAGCCCAATCTTGCATCTGGGGAGGTGCAGACTAGTGTTAGGTGGACTGTTTTGATGATGTAAACATACAAGTTGTTTCTTTATATCTTGCTGTATCTGTTCTTTTCCCGAACTGTACTGTATATGTCTTCTGTCTGCTATACCAGGTGGCCACAATCTGTACCAAAGTAGATGCAAGAATCATAGACTCACAGAATGGCCTGGGTTGAAAAGGACCACAGTGATTATCTAGTTTCAAACCCCTGCTATGTGCAGGGTCACCAGCCACCAGACCAGGCTGCCCAGACAATGAGTGATTTGAGTTTGTAAGGTTTTTAAATGATCCTTGCCTATTTGTCTGCTGCTAAAGTTGCTCTCACTTCAGTATGTCTGTGGTGATGACTGCAGATAACTCAGTACTCAATTATGAAAATAGAGCATTTTGCAAAGCTCTGTAGTGTTTCTTGGCCTGCTGAGATTCCATCAAATGCCTGTTTTAAACCTGTTTTGCTATACAGACCTAGAAACATTGCTTCATTATAGGCGTTTGGTAGGGTTTGTGTGTAGTGCCTATTACTTTTTATTCAATGTCTGAATTACCTACTTCTCAGTTTTCTTTTTTTCTGCTACACTGCTGAATGCTGAAAGCCTGAAATTATCAAAGGCTGTCATTCAGCTGGTAAAGAATATAACAAAATTCTGCTCGTCTGTTAAGCTTCTTGTCTTATAAAGCAGTGTTTGAGAACAAAAAGATTGCTATAAGAAACAGCAGATTATGGGATTTAAAGCGTGACCTGCTGAAATTCTGAATGGGTGAAGGAGAATGTGATTTAATTGAATTATGGCAACTTGGTATCGTATTCCCATGTGACTTTACAGTGCTTGGCCTTTAAAATGTATGTAGTAGGGCTACAAAGATGCATATAAGAGTGTGGGATGCCACTTGCCGATAAAAATTCTCTCCCTTAAGATGTGTTTTGCTTTCAGTGATATACCTCTGCATACGTTTTGGCATGGTTGCGTTACCAAAACCAGGGTGGTGATTTAAATGCTATTAGTGAAATGTGGTAAGCGTAGCCTTGATCTCAGGCTTTCTTCCATTTCAGCTTTACTGGAAAGACATAGTGTTGACACGTAATTGTCAAATCTAACAATTTGATTGAGACGTTAGGTAATAGTTAATGTTTGATTTTTTTTTAATTACTATTTTTATTTTAAATTTGTGGTAGTATTTGAGAAAACAAACGGATTTTTGTAACTATTCTTACTATGTTTTAAAAATCTCAAAATCATATTTTTAGGAGGAAGTTTTTCACGCAGAGGGTGGTGACGCACTGGAACAGGTTGCCCAAGGAGGTTGTGGATGCCCCATCCCTGGAGGCATTCAAGGCCAGGCTGGATGTGGCTCTGGGCAGCCTGGTCTGGTGATTGGTGATCCTGCACATAGCAGGGAAGTTGAAACTAGATGATCTTTTCAACTCAGGTCATTCTATGACTGTATGATATTTCAAAGTCTCTTTAAATTACATTCAGAACATTCACAAGGATCCGATGCTAAGGAAGTACAGACTTAATATTTTGGTATTATTGTGTGGAATTGCTATTATGCATTGTGTTCATGTGATAACTGATGGCTAGGGTGACTGAAAGTTTATTTACATCACAGTTCCATGATGGAATCTAACTCACAAATGCAGAGCATCAGCAAAAGTAAACAATCTTGTTTTAACAGTTATAAAAGGGATTTTGGTTTGTTGGTTGGTTTTGGTTTATTTTTTTGACAAACCAGCTTCTGTTGTTTTGCAGTTATTTCTATTGGAGATGGGATTTTATCTTTGGATATGATGTTCGCAGTTTTACAAGAGCCATTAATTTAAAAAATGAAATAAAATGATATGAATAAATTTAAGGTATTGTTAATAGTGTGATGTGGCACTCTGATCTGCATGTCCAATGAGAAAACTTTCATCTGTTCATTTATCATCCTCTTAGAAAAGTGGGTTATTCTGAATGAAAACAATTCACTGCTTGTGATGTCAAACCTGCAAATTCAAAAACATGTCATGCAAGTTTCTGAAACACAACTTTAGCATTATTCCTTTTGAAGGTTTCTAATCTCATGTTTTCATATAGGCACACAAAACTCCCTGACTGCATGGTGTTTTACACATTCCTTCTTTATAGACAGAGTACCAGATTAATCCACAATGAGAGATGCAGAGAAGAAGAAAGGCTCCTGTCGTAGACATATTTGTCCAAAGGAAAACCCATCTAATTTGTGAACACATTTGAAAATTCATCATAAATAATGTTGTAAAGAACTGCGATTTGCAGGTCATTTTAAGACAGGACATTTAGCAATTAAATATTGTCCCCCAGTAGACAACAGAATAAGCTGAGAATCACAAATGTTTGTTTCTATTAATTATATTGCTGCATTATTGATGTCTGTGTCTGAGGTAGAGGTGTGGGTGCTCAGTTAAACGCACCCTTACTTTGTCAGTAGGTCTACAGAGACTGCTAAGTCTGTCTGAGAGCACTCCTTTTTTATTTTCTGATGAGTGCTTTATCTGAGCAGTAGCTTAAGGAAAGGGTGCTTGTTCTCCTCTTTTGTCATTTCTTCTGCATACCTATTTCTTATTAAGTACATCTACAATGCAGTACTTGCTGAAAAATCAGGTCATACACATGGCATTGCCTATTTCTAAATCTTACTTTAAAAAGTATATAATAAATAGCAAAATGTATGTATGCACCTCATCTTGTATGAGATATTCAAATGCTCGTGGATTCTGACTGTGCCTTCTCTTTCAGGGAATGGTAAACTTTACATGTTCGGCAGTAACGACTGGGGCCAGTTAGGACTAGGGTCAAAGAATACTGTCCACAAACCAACATGTGTTAAAGGTTTGTTTAATTTTTTTTGTCCTTTTGAAAGTTTGTCATTGTGAAAAAGTGCTTTATAAGTTGCTGCTCCAACATAACTGTTCCGATTTCTTTACTCATCACGCGTAGTATATTACTGCTTAAGCTCCTAAAGGTAGTTTAAAAGAAAGCCCAACTGCTCTTCTGTTAGTTCCAGGTTCTGGGTCCTTTTGTGTCTGAAAATTATTTCAGCTACATAGCATCCAGTCTTTTTAGTTTGTTTTAGCAAGTCTACGATTTGTCCAAGTGGTGATAAACGTAGATACGTTTGTATGAAGTATAAAAAAGCAGTAAAATGAATGCCCATCTTCTTACTTGCTTTGTAAAATATTTTCACTGTATTCTGTTACCTTTTGAATCTTTCCTCGCCAGTTTTATCTTGCCAAGCAAAACTGAGGCAGTATTTTTTCCCTGCCTTCTTATGTATGTCCAATAATACCTGTCCCATTAACACACCCCTTTTCATCATTACATGTTTATTCTCATCCTTTCTATTAGAGGATCAGTCTCTTAGCTTATTCTTTAAAAATGAATTCACCGTGTTTGTTTAAACTTTTCTTCTTGATTTATTTTATTCTACTGTTCTTTATCTGCTTCTCTCTCTATTTCAGTTCAGAGGGAGAATGAAAATACTCTCAGGTTCTCATCTTCTGTCAGCCATATGAGAGACTGATTCTTACATTGGCTCAAATGGATTGGGTGTCAAGTTTTGTTTTACTGTCAGGTTGCAACAGACAATAAAAGACAGAGAGAAGATGACAATAATTCCGAACAGTCCTGGCTTCCACTGAAAAAAAGCCACAAGGGGGCTATCTTTCTTTTCCTGGCAGTAGGCAGCAGAAGAGTGTTCTGGAGCTTTTCTCACTAGCTTTCAGGCATTAGTTAGCTTTGGGAATGGAGTTGCAAATGCAGTGTTTCCTTTTCTGCTCCAGCTGTAATAATTGTGGCTGCTCATTTTCTGACAAAATCATTCTGGGACTTAACTGGAGACTAATGAAATTGGTTATGAAAAACTGCCAGCTATATATATGATTGATTAGCATAAGTGGGAGGAAGGTTAGGGAGCACAAGCTTCTGGTGAACTGATCAAGGTTATTGCTGGTGTAGGAGGCAGAATGTTGGGATATGAAACAGCAAATTAATATTGTAAGAAGAAACCAGTATTGGAAATATCATGATTCCTGCCTGGTGCTGAGGGCAGGTGTCAGGATATGTAGGATTCTGAGTTTGGATAATTGCTATTTGTGTCTTTTTGGCATCAGAGACTTCATCCTTAAGTAGATAGATTTATGTAGTGGCTTAGTAGGAAAGAGAAAGGAATTTAACCTGAATGTTATGGTGCTGACGAAGATTGATTTGAAGGGATTGAAAAGGATTTTGTGAAAGGAATTATGTTGTTGTCTTTGTCAAGGATCAGTGCAGTGGAAAAAAATTAAAGATATAATATGTAAACATAATGCTTTTTTAATAGCTTGAGTATTGTATACTGAAAATGGATATGGCTGAGCAAAGAAAAATTGTTGGCAAAGGTTAAAAACTGAGGAGAAGATGGAGAAGTCAGTGAGATTATTTTTTCACTGTTTCTGAGTTGGAATGCACTTACCATGGGGTAAAACCAACACTGTTCTCTTTCCCACCAAAATAACTCTTGAAACATCCTCTTGTGTACGTTCCCAGTCTTTCATAGTGACTAGACTGCAGAGAAGAATATGCATGGATGGATGGTAATTCAGCTACCACTGAGGTGGGATGATATATCCAAAACCTAGAGATAGGACCAGCCTTAGGAATTGCAAATTTAGTAATTCGTAGAATGACAGCGTAGAGCAAAAGTCTATCAAGAAAAGTAGCTGTGCACAGTGAGGAAGATATGAAAGAATGAGTTAAATATTTTAATTAGCAAGAGAAGCAAAAGTGTGAATTAAAAACATTACTGTTAATGAAAGTTGAAGAAAGCTCTAAGCGTGCATTTTGTTCTGCAAATGGATGTATTCTTTAAGGCATAGCCTAAAAATAGTAATTCTGAGTGTGGCATTGGGATAAAGTAACCATCATCAAGTCACCAACCATCACCCTAACCCTAATCCTGGTTACTAAGTCATGTGCTAAGATCAAATGGCCAGCCAACCTTGTAGTCATTCTGTTGGTAACAATATGAAAAAAAATCAGTTTTCTCTAGAGCATTGAACATGGTGTTGTTGAGCCAGCTGTCAGCTTGTTTGTAACTTTCCTCCTCCTTTCACTTTAATTCATAGCTTTAAAACCAGAAAAAACAAAACTTGCTGTTTGTGGAAGAAACCACACTTTAGTTTACACAGGTACGTAACAAATTATGTACATATTGAAGGTAGATTTTTTCCTTATTTTAAATGCAAAAATTACGTTGCTAACCCTAGAACTGCACATCAATGAAAAAAAGGAGAAGAATATGCTGTTAAAATTTGTTGCTTTTTTTTTAATATCCAGATCTTTGAATGCTTGAATTATTCTGCAGCGCATTTCGAAAATCATGTTCTATAGGAATTCACTAGCTTTTATCTCTACTTTTAACTTTTTATTTGTGTTTGAGGTATGGTAAACAATTACCAATATTTCATTGAAGCCCTTTGTGTGCATAGGAGTATTTTTATATATCTGTACTCAAATTTACCTTTGACAAGGATTGCATTCTTATAAGCGTGGAGTTCTGTATTTAAGTAAAAGCAGTAGAACATTATGTTATGAAGCCTTCGAAGTATGTTGCATTTTATTTAGACACGGCAGTCTGCTATTTCATTGACAAGTTACTTTATTAAACTATAAATAAATAAACTGTAAATTTAAATTAAAAAAAATGTTTCGAGAGAGAGCAAATTATCGTCACGGTTCTAAAATTTATGTAGTGGAATAGCCATCTTTGTTCTTGCAATGCTTTAGAGGTAATGTTATAAAGAGAACTGTTGATTATTATGGGGTTTACATATGTGGAGACCCAAAGCACAGTAAATAAAACTATTAGAATAAAACAGAACATTTTAATAGCAATTGAATATGCTAGAATGCGCAGGGTAAATATTAGTCACTTTTAGTGTACGCTCTAGCTGAGTAATTTGTGGCCATTTTTATAGCAGGGACCATTTGTAAGTTGTATGTCAGTTTGTTATCACTTTTGTGTCTGAATTTATGTTATTTATTGACCTTGTGTTTTTCATCATAGATGATCACTTTAAATGTGAAACACGCTAAAATTAAAAAATATAAATTTGAAAGTTCTTTTAGGTGAAAGATATTAATCATCAACTTTAACTTCAATTGTAAAATTCTAAAGAAAAAGTAAGATCACGCTAATTAAATTGAAAGTGATTTAAATATTCAAATGAGTAAAATATTTTAAATAAAAATATAAGTAAAAATATATTTCATTCCTATTATTCAAAACTGTCAAGTTACACATCTCTTTAATTTTCTTGTCCCTGTCATCAGTCTCCATTTTTCCCTCATTTTATTTTAAATTAAATAAATACTTAAAATTATATTTATTTTTCAGATCAGACTCCAAAATGTTGGGAAGCACACTCAGTCTATGGATGTGTAAGGCCTTTAGACTGTTCTGATCTAAATGCCTGCAGGATAGCCTACCTGCTAGTTACAGCAGGAACATTCAGTGTCAACTCTAGACTATTTGAGAGCAATAGACCCCATACTTTTTCTTAAAGCTTTTCTGTAGAAAATTAAATGACTAGCTGCAATTTCTCTGACTTTTTGCTGCCATTGAGAATATCCTCATTCTGTGTATTACGTGTGCTTTTCTGTATGCAGAAAATGGGAATGTGTATGCTGCTGGAGGTAACGGTGAAGGTCAATTGGGATTAGGTGACACAGAGGAAAGGACCACATTTCATTTAATTAGTTTTTTTACCAACCAGCACAAGATCAAACAGCTAGCTGCTGGATCATACACCTCAGCAGCAGTAACTGGTAAGAGCAACACCTAAGAAAATCTGTTTATGCATTCAAGCCTGGTGTTCCAGAGAAACGTTTATTCTGGTTTCTGTCTGCATGTATGTGTGTTTTCTATGCCTCCCTGTCTTCTTTCCTCACTAAACCTTGGATTTTTTTTATAGCCAATTGCATATTTCAGTACAATACGTTGAGGGGTTGCTTCTGAATAGCATCCTACAATTTTTGTAGGTGTGCAGTGAGGTCTCAATCCCTACTAGTTACTAAGAATCCATACAAAGGAAAGACAGTATAAATAGATTCAAAGTGGGAAAAACTCCAATTAATTTCTAGGAAAGCCAGCTAAAAAAAGAAACTGAGCTTCTCTAATTCCACTTCTTACTGCAGTTATTTTGGTCTACTGGTAGAGGCTACACAACTGTGTCATTACTAATTCTGAAGCAGCCTGAGCTGTTTCTTCAATGGCAAAATTACATGGTGATGACTTGATGAAGTCTACACGATTAGAATACATTCGGCTGTTGTATGCGTATATTAACCTGTAATTTCTCCAGTCCTGTTAAAAGGAATTGTTTCTGTATATATTTAGGATAAGTTACTGGGGCTGTGATTTCAGAATGTGACAAAGCATCAGTAGATAAAAAAGATATACTTTACTTGCTCCTCTTTTTTGTATTTTTTGTGACAATTCATAGCATCCTCATAAGATCTGTAAATGAACTTTGAATGAGTGTGGTTCCAACCAATATCTTAGTAACATTGTATATGATAGTTCTTTACTCACAGCCTATTTCCCACCAATAAGAAATAAGCCAAGAGAAGGCCTTACCTCTTCTAGAAAATCTTAAGATTTTTCATATTGTTCACTACTTTTTTTTTGATTCTTCCTGCTGCCTTTGGTCTTTGTGTCAGCAGAGGCTGGTCTTAATAAACTTGGAACACCTGATAGTTTAAGGAAAACAAAATAAAGCTGGCCAATATAATAACCTGTGAAAAGAACCATAAGATAACAAAAAAAAAAAACAGTGAGATGTGTACCAAAGTCAGAACAGAGTATAAGTTTGGAAGAACAAAAAGTAGTGAGGTGCTACCAGAAATTACACTAAATCTTCAATTCACTATGTTTTAATGCTGGCATCTGGCAACAGAGTTGTCTTATGTTCTCATTTTTTCTCTTTTCGAAGGAAATTTTCTATGTAGTTTTTACTTTTGCTATTTATTGTGTAAGAGGATTTGATCACTTCTGAGTCACTTTTGAAAAGATTAGGGGATAGCCTCATATTTCAGACTATTGTGTTGCATTGTGCTAAACATCACTTTTTGTCTCTGAGATAATGACATTTAGTAGTATTGTACATAGAATTTATGAACTGCTTCTTGAATAGTTAAATTAACTTTTTATTAGTGTAGTCCTGCTTTTAAATCTATTAACTTTCTGTGTCTTCACTTTAGAGGATGGGCAGCTTTTTGTGTGGGGTGATAATTCAGAAGGTCAGATTGGCTTGGCTGACAAAACCTACGTCAGTGTCCCTTGTCAAGTAGATATTGGAAAACCCGTTTCCTCTATATCCTGTGGATATTATCATTCTGCCTTCATAACAGGTAAGCTAATGAGAATGGAGGTTAGTGAAGACAAGTCAGTGGTCCTCAGATTGTGGTCTTTATAAAGGTAGCTAATGAGACATTTGCTGCTTTTGAAACTATGTAAGCAATAGCAGGCAGGTAGAAGAGAAAGCCATTTATGTGGTTATGTGTCACACAGGGAGATTTTATAGAGAGATGTTCTCTAAAATGAGGTTCCATATTACTTATTTGGAAAAGTTACGTGTCATCTGATCTATAATGTACTCTATATTTAATTAGAAATTCCATGAAAAAATATTGCTGTAAATATTCTGCATATGCACAATGATTTACAAAAAAATATTAGGAAAAATTACTATCTTATCACACACAGCATTATTTTCATGAAGGTTATGACAAATGTTGATTAATACTACTGTTTCAGTAGTCCAGCTTTTCTTGAGATTATTCTTGTTCCTGCATTGATAAAATAATCATCTTCATCTTTCCTAGACATAAAAATTTGGAATAGAGTTACTATATTTTAGGGAAAAAATAATCTTGTTTGCTAGCAGAGCAATATTGTTGTAAAAGTTTGATGTTAAGGCTTAAGTTTTGAAGTCAATTAAACAGGCAATATACAATACAAGAAGCATACACTACAATGAGTTGGTGTCTGGTCTCCAAGCCAACCTGCCTCTTGACTGCTTTCCACCTCTGTATTTTTTCACCTTTTTTTTCCTTTACAAAGTGATGATGCCACTCGTCTTTTAACAATGCTAATGTGATTGAATTAGTCAGTCAGTATGGATGGTATTAGAAGTGTGCAGCTATGAATTCCTCTCAGCCTTATAGGTTTACATTATTAAGATATACAGTTTTGTCCCATTAGAGTAATTGAAGATTTCAAAGGATCAGTAGTTTTCATTGTAAAGCCTTTAATGGGTACCCAGTAACCGTTCCATCAGCTACTTTTCTCAGCTTACTTGATAATTATTACTTTCCCACATACAATACCTAGCTTTCTGAGAACGTACTGTTAACAGAATGAGACCTTCTTCAGATGACTAAGTATTAACTAGATGTTATGCTGGTAGTATGGAACTTTTATTACAGATGTTTTATTACTGTAAAGCATTTAAGTACCTCTGACTGGTCAAGAGGTCAGCAACTGCTAGAAATTCCACAGCTTCCTGAACTTGAAATAAAAGAAAAAAAATGTCCTTACTTCAAGGATGGAGTAAGAAGGTGTGTTTTTCTGCCTTAGAGTTCTGCCAAGAACTGAAGTTCTGTGATTCTGTCATTCTTACAAGATTGCAGTGGGATGTGACAAAAGCTCTCATTAAAAGAAGGGCTGAGGGCAAGCGTCTAAAAACAAGGAGATAGCATGTGTTGAATGCTCTGAGAGAGCTGAAATGTTTAATGGAGAGGGCTGAGAAAAAGGAATTATGAATTAGAGAAATTGAGCCGCTTAAAATGTTAATAAGATGATAAACTGGTTTTCAGCTGTGAAAACAGGAACTTGTTGAATGCTGCCTTAACAAGCCTGGTGCTGAGGTGGGCAGTCTTAATTTTCAGCCTCTAGTATCTGCAAATTCTGCAGAAAAATTAAGCCTGGCTGCCTTGTTGTTCACCTTTTTTATGGTGAAAGGAGGAATATTTTTTGATATTTTTTCTTTGTGCCTTTGCTGACAGTTTTCTTTGACTGATACCTTAAATAAATGGAAGTTTAGTTTTGGACTTTAGTGGAAATAATCTGTTGCACTAATGTAGGTATATAGCTGGACAGAACTTAAAAACAAAGCTCTGTGCATTTATTTAAGTGCACCATAATTACACATTATTTTAGCTGTGATGCTAGCCATTAAATTATGAATTTGGAAATTCTGTGAGCTGAGTCTGAATGCAAATGTAGTTACTCTTTTTTTCTCACAGCCTAGTTAGGAAGGCATTATGCTGTTAAAGAGTTTTGTGTGAAAAAGGAAAAAGATTCTTTTACAGTTTACAGGATTTTTTTATTTCCTATTGAAATTGCTTGTTGTGTACTTGCTAGACTGCCTCCAAACAGTGGTTGACATCCTCAGCATTCTGCCTCTCAGGGATGGTAAAACATAGCAAAATGGATAATTATGTAATACTGTAATATTCATATATAATAGAGATATGAGTTTTTCTCCCTAAATTTCCAGTTAGTCATCAAATTATGCCTTAAAGTATGCTTAGAAGTTTGCATAGCAGGAGTTTTCCATGTGTTTTAGATGTACAGTTTGACCTTGTACGCTAGAACTGGTAGTAACTAGTGTTTAATACTTAACAGTAATTCAAGTATGTAATCAATATTAGTTCCCTCGACATCTATGCAAAGGAACTTTCCTAGGCCACAGTTATTACTATGGAAGACATGGAAGAAACTGTTAATAGAGAACTTTCAATACCTGTTACTTACCAGTTATTACAGTACTGTAGTATTACTACAGTTTGTCTTTTTAAGCACGACATGCTTTGAGAAGTGTGCTATCTAATATGTATAGTATATATGTAGCATGGATAGTATACTATCTAATAAAACATGGTTGCAGGATATAGAACATGATATATGTTGCCAGGTTGAACTGATGAGCATTGGCTCCCTTTTTAAACGTTTTTGTATTTGACATAAACTGTATGCTGGCTAGGCAGACTGATAGGATCACAGGAGTGTTTGGGTTAAAATGGATGGTTAATGAGGGCACACTAGAGCACATAGTGTGGTCACAGAGTGCCCTCTCCAGGGCAGGATGTTCATTAATAACAGACAGTCGAGGAAAAGAAAGTTGTGGTGTATGGATTCCAGCAGTATGCAATTTGTCTTTTATGAGCAAAGATAGCTTTCTGTTGGTGTGTTCTTTCTCTTGACATCTTGCTGTGAGCTAAAGCATAGTGAAAGCAGAAATGTACCTCACTAAGGAAAGTTCAATATGCGAGGATGACAGAGGGCTCATATGAGAGTAGAAAATGAAACAACCAGTAGACTTACTTTGAATGGAATGTCCTTAACGTGCACATATGCTGCACTCGTGTAACTGTACTGAAAATTTATCTGTGTTTGACTCAATCTTTTTTGTGCCTGATAGCTATTCTCCATAATTTCCAGACTACTGTATGATGTAAAATGATGTGTAATATGTTCCAGAATTACCTTAGTAAATGGCCTTCTCTTTGTCAGCTGGATTATTAAGTTTAAAAAATATAATAAACTTGACTAGTTTGGGAAGTCAATGGTAGTTTGACCATTTGAATCTCTAATCCTGTTAATTAGATTGTAATTGGATTAATATTTACTGTGCAGTAGTGTTCAAAAAATAAATAAATTCTGTGATCTCTTTGAAGAGAATTGCATACATAGTTAGCTAAGTGCTTTTCAGGGTCCCTGAACTTGTTCCTAGAAATATGAGGGCTGTTCTGAAAGTAATGCCTCCTGTTTTATTATATTGGCCCACAATGTTAGAGGCAGATGTTGGCGGTATGACAGTAGAGGTTGAACCTTCCCACCAGTATTCCATAACATTTTGTTGCCGTGTGACAGATGGCAACAGAAGGGCTGTCTGACACAGTGGAAGTGTGTATGAAGCAAAGGTGCATCGTTGAATTCCTCCATGAAACCACTGGCATTCATCAACACCTGCTGAACGTTATGGAGACCAGACAGCAAATGTGAGCACAGTGAGGTGATGGGCAGTGTGTTTCACCAGTGGTGACAGTGAAGTGGGTTGTGTCTGCTAGTGCAGATGTTGGAGTTCCCATGGAAATAAATAGGAGGCATTTCTCTTGGAGTGACTTCCTTACGTGACAAGTCCAAGAATATTAAAATATTCATACTTGCCTTCTAAAAGTGCTTGTTTTGTTGTTGTTGTTTGTTTGTTTGTTTGTTTTTTACAGTGTCTAATAAAACTTCACAGTAGGAGCACTGACACTTCTTGAATCAATTGAATGTTTTGGTTACAGTAAACCTCACATTTGGTTGATTTTTTGCTGTTAATTAGGCTTAGTATTTTAGAATAAAAAAACTGCACATAACTGTAAAGTATCAGTAATACTGAAGTCTATTCAGAGTGTTTCTGCACATAAGAATGAAAACCAGGATTAAAATAGAAAATCAGACTGAACAGAGAACCATAAACACAGTACATAGTGTTTATGTACTGTGTATATTTCATTATGAAATATATGAAATATACTTTTCTGAGATAGTCTGCTCTTTTTTTAAAAAATACAGACTATAATGACTACAAAACACCTCTTAGAAAAGTGTGGCAGAATGCAACAAAGGTATTTTTTTCACAGATGCATGCAGATAAATGAATTGTTGTAATATTATTGATTTCATTTAAAATAATTTGTGTGTGCAGGAAAGAGAAAATATCATCAATTAAGGAGAAAAAAATAACATGTTGGTAATGAAAAACTAAGAACAGCTGGGAGGATGTTTTAGTGGTCACAAGCGTGGTACTTGAAGGACTACTAAAATGATTGAGGAACTGAAGCATTTCTCCTATGGAGCTGGGCTTGTTCAACCTGGAGAATAGAAAATTCAGGGAGTTCTTATCAATGAATATAAGTATCTGAAGGGAGAATGTAAAAAAGATGGAGCCAAGCTCTTCTCAGTGGTGTCCAGTGATAGGACAAGGCAACAGTTACAAGCTGAAACTTGGAGTAGGTGATCTCCAGAGGTCCCTTCCAACCTCGGCCATTCTGTGGTTACGTGATATCTGTGAATCCATGCCATTGTGAGAGACAGAAATGGTCTTGGAAAATGTAGGAAACATACAAAGTAGTCTGATTTTTTTTTTACTAAAGCAGGGGTCTAATTTCATAGGTCTTGTAAGCTTTAGAAATAAATATTGTGCCATCAAAGTTTGCTTCTAAATCTTTTGTGAAAATGCTGGGTTGCAACTTTGTATTGATGATTGAGCCGATATTTCATTTAAGGCAGGAATTTGTATTTTTATGAAAAAAGACCTTATTACTGATTTTGTGCTTTCAGTATGGAATACATCCTGAATGAATGCTACAGATTCTCCCTACTGGTAAAATTCATTGAAAATGTATCCTCAGGCTTTATTTGAAGAAAATAGATCATAATTTTGACCTTTTTCTGTTTTGTTTTTTTTTTGCTTTACTTGGACTGACACCAAGAAAGGTAACATACATCAGAGATCAGCGTAACAGCTCCAGAATTACTTCCTCTGAGAGGATTTGAGAAGAAGCACTGTTTTATTAAAACACATGGTAGCTTAAGGTTTTTCTGAATGTATCAGGTCCCCATTGCTCTCTGGAGCTTCCTGAGGAGGTGAAATGGAAAGAGAAGTGCTGGCCTTTTCTCCTTGAAAACTGATGGCAGGACACATAGGAACAGAATTAAGCTGTTCTTCTTATGGAGGGTCCTGGCAACAGCAGTCTCTGTGCTGCTGTCCATGCACCAACTGCTGTAGTGACTGTTCTGCAATAGAGTGTGAGTCAAGAGCCAAGCGCCATGAAAGAAAAAAAAATGTCACTGACAAGAGTTTTCCAGGAAAAACAACTTTATCTACTAGATTTTACCAGATGACTTTAATGAAAACATGATAGTAACAAGTTGTCTCATACTTACACATAATAAAGCTGCCTGAAATTCTTGCTCAATTTTCAGTTGTGCCAAAGATAATTTTAAATGAGCATATTGGTTGCCAAGCCACTCTCCATCATATTTGAAAAGTCATGGATACCAGGCAAAATCCCTGTGACTAGAAGGGAAACATCACTCCCATTCTTAAGAAAGGGAGAAAAGAAGACCTGGGGAACTACAGGCCAGCAAGCCCTACATGTGTGCCTGCAGATGCCATGGAGCAGATCCTCCTGGAACCTGTGTTAAGGTACATGTGAGATAAGGAGGTGATCTGAGATAGCCAGTATGGCTTCACCAAGGACAGATTGTGCCTGACCAACCTGATGGCCTTCTATGATGGAGTCACAGCATCAATGAACAAAGGAAGGGCAACTGATTTCATCTACCTGGACTTGTGTGAGACCTTTGATGTGGTCAAGCACCACATCCTCTAAATTGGAGAGATATGTATTTGAAGGCTGCACTGTTTGATGGATAAAGAATTGGTTGGATAGTCATAGCCAGAGGATTATGGTTAACAGATCTGTAGGGACCAGTGATGCCTGGTGTCTCCCAGGAGTCCATCTTGAGACTGATGCTATTCAATATCTTTATCAATGACCTAGTCCAGAGGGACTTAGACAGGCTTGGAAAGTGATCCCTCAAGAGTCTAACGAGGACAAGTACAAGATGTTGCACTTGTGTTGGTGCAATCTCAGATATGTATGTAGACTGGGAGAAGAGCACATTAAGAACTGTCCTGCAGAGAAGGACTTGAGAATTCCAGTGGACAAAATTTTGTAAAAATATTTGTAAAGACCTCTCGTTATTTTCCTGAACTTAATTTTGGTGAAGTTATTGCCATGGAATCACTGTTGTTGGACATGTAACTCATTTATTGTTGTCTAGACCTCACACAGTTTCACGTCAATTACTCATTTTTTTCCTTTTTTTTTTTCTGTTTCTCACAAGAAGAAAGTGTTTATTTTCAATCAATACTTTCTGTTTTAATTGAAACACTTGCAGACCATCTCAGCTGATAAAAATAATGAATACAGAGGGGATAATAACCTCTCCAAAAAGGATGTATATGGTTGTATTTTTCTCTAGTGGTGTTCCTTACAGACTAAAGATTTGTGTTAAAATTTTGCTCCTCCATATCCCATTAAAGCATGCTGCTTTGCACAACTGTTTAATCATTCTATAAATATGTTCAGTTGTCCTGTAATTTTCATATACTTTTCTGTATTACTGACTTGTGTCTGCAGCTGTCTTGACAATGTAACCTTGCTTCTGAATGCTTTCCTGTTCTATATTTTTACAGGAGATGGTGAACTCTATACTTTTGGGGAACCTGAGAATGGAAAGCTGGGGTTATTGCCTGAGCAGTTAAAGAACAGTAGAGTCCCACAGCAAGTACTGGGAATTATGGAAAAAGTTAATAAGGTTGCTTGTGGTGGAGAACACACAGTGGTGCTTACAGGTATGGTATTTAAATGCTTTTTTTTTTTTTTTTTTTTTAAACTCTGTAATTTAGTAATCTCAATTTACTTCAAAGAGCTTACTTACATTCTACCAAAAAGTAGAACTCTGTAATGCTCCTAAACAGAAGACCATTGTACATTAAACAGGTCAAAGTCCACGTGGTGGTTAACCTGAGTAAGTATAGGTCTGTGCTGCACTGTTCTCAACCTTCTATGCTGTGCTTATCCTTTTGCTTGATCAATTTTACAAGCTAATTGTAAAAGAAGAGCATAGCATGCCATGCATGGTTGGAAGCCCATTCGGTTCCATACAGCTCGGGATTCCCGTAGTATGAAGAAATGTAAGATTATGATAACCTCTTTTTATTTATTGTATTAGCTCTAATAGATACCATTGATGAATAAGACATAAGAGACATTGATCACTGCTGTTGCCCAAGGAGATACTAGCTTGTTACAATCACTATGCTCAAGGAAGAGATTGCAATGTAGGACCCAGGGAAGAGTAGAGAAGTCAGTGTGCCTTCCCATTCTATAAAGCAGTTTGTGTTTTTTTAGTAATCTGAACAGCTTTCCTTGTGACACCTTTTTAAAACCTAATTATGTATCTTACTTCTGGGAGCTTTTGGAAGCTCCAGTAATTCAAACAGAAGACTCTTTCCTTCTTCTGCAGCTTTCCTGACCATCCTATTTGAGCTCATCTGCTGATCAGAATTTCTGTTTTCATTAGATTTGATAACTGTAAAATACTATGGAAGCAGAAAAAGGGAGTTTGACCTGATGTGCAGATGATTTCAAAATTATTAGTTTTGGCTTGTGATGAATTCCATGGCTGTATACAATATTTGCAAGTAATCTTCTACCCAAACGCAAAAGTTGTAAAAATCCGTAGGTTTTATGAGTCCTTAAATCTGTATTTTGGAAATGCTGAATAGTCACCTATTGTCAGCCTGACAGAGTGCCTTCATGATTATGTAAGCAAAGTTTCTAAAATATAAAATGAAAATCTAACTGAAGGGAATTTTAAGTAATTTGATGTGATATTGTACTGCAAGCCACTGGAGAGATTAAAGGTGGAAGCAAAGGGCTGGAAAAGGTTATGTGTAATGATGAGAGAAGTTGCAAGATTCTAGGTAAATCAAAGCTCCTTTGAGAGGAGGAAATAATAGTAGTCAATAAAAATAAAAAAATAATGCAAACATTTGTCTACATTTTGAAGCTTTTGTCTCCAGCATACAGTCTCACCCTAGCAGTATTCTGCCATAAAATAAATTTCTTTGCATGAAATCGGATTATCATTATTGTGAAAAATATTACCATAAATTTGAGGCTAGCATGTGTATAAATCCTAGAATTATTTTATGAGTTATAAAGTGAAGTTCAGCAAAAAGAATTAGATTATCATTATTGATTTTTTAACCATAAACTTGAAACCAACCGATACTTTGTTTTAATGGTATTTCATGTGATAAAAATTCATTAAAACAAATGACTTCTACAGAGATTTTGTAGGAGATTGTAGACTTAGATGACATCAGCATTATAGTTAAATCTTGCAGGAAGTAAAAGTGGAACATAGAGGCAAACGAAATGCAAAACAAAACAAAAAAATGATGACAAATATAGTGAAGAAAATACCATAGTAAGTCAGTGTGTTACTATGTAGAATTCACTTACATATGGAAATAGATGCTGTAATTGAAGGTACATAAGAAATACAGTGCTGGCTTAGCTGGCAGTAGATCAGTTTCGAGCACCAGTGGATCCATTTGAGTCAAGAGAAGAAGAAAACAATATCCTCTGACAAAATATGTATGGCTAAAGATTGATAGTTGTTGTGTTAGGAGTGAAAGGTCAGGTAGAGAATTTTTAATGTAATCCTGCTATTATTATTATTCAGTGCCTAGTAAAATTATGGAGAAGATTATTCTGAAAGACACTGAAAAACACTTGAAAGACAGTGCAGTCACTGGTAAAAGCCAACACTGAGCAGAAAGTCCTGCTTAGCGAACTTAATTTCCTTTATGACAAAGTTACCCACCTAGTTGACCAAGGAAACCCAGTAGGTGTAGTCTTTTTAAATTTCAACAAAGCTTTCAATGCTGTCTCTCATAATATCGTTCTGGAGAAAGTGTTACGAATACAGCTAGCTACAGTGAAATGTTAGCTGATGGGGTGGGTGTGAAGGGGTTATAATAAATTGAGTTACATTTAAATGGTAACTAGTGGGGTTCCCCAGGTCTCAATTTTCGGGGCAGTTCTCAGTGTTTTTTAAAATGGACACAGGAATCAAATGTATACTAAGGAAGGTTGCAGAAGTCACTGAATTAGGAGGAGCTCTTGAATCCTTTGAGAGTAGACAGGCCTTGCAGAGAGATCTTAACAAATTAGAGGGCTGGGCAATCACCATCCACATGAATTTTAACAAGTGCCAGATTCTGTACATGGGATGAGGTAACTCTTGTTCTGTGTACTGGGAGAGTACTGAGACTGGGAGATGAGAGGCTGGAGTGCAGTCCTATGGAAAGGGATCCAGGATTTTTGATTGATGGCAAGTTGGATCTGAGTCAGCTATGTGCCCTGGCAGCCAAAAGGTCCAACTGTACCCAGGGGTGTATCAGGGCCAGCACTGCCAGCCAGAGAGGGGAGGGGTTTTCCTGCCCTGCTCTCTGCTGTGCCTTGAGCAACATATGCACAATGGATGCCACTGTATAAGGACATAAAGCTATGAGAGATCATCCAAAGGAGGGCTACAAAGATGGGGAAGGGTGTAGAGGATAAGATGTATGAGAGCAACTGAGGCCCCTCGGTGTGCTCAGCGCAGAGCAGAGGAGCTGAGGGGAGGCCTGATGGCGGCTGCAGCTCCTCACAGGGAGCGGAGGGGCAGCGCTGAGCTCTGCTCTGTGTGACAGCGACAGGGCCCGAGGGAACGGCATGGAGCTGTGTCAGGGGAGGGCAGATGGGGCTCAGGGAAAGGGTCCGCTCCAGAGGGTGGTGGGCATGGAACAGGCTGCACAGGGCAGTGGGCACGGCCATGAGTGCTGGAGTTCTGGGAGTGTTTGGACAGCGCTCTCAGACGTAGAGCCTGATTTGGGGTTGTCCTGTGTATAGCCAGGAGCTGGATTCTATGATCCTTGTGAGACCCTTACAACTTGGGTTATTCTATGATTCCTTGATTTAAAAAATGACAGTAGTGTACATACATTATAGGCTTGATATCAGAAAAATAACTTTGAATAAACACCGAAGTATGTGTTGCATCCCAAGATGAAGTGATGTGACCATAAATTCAGAGTTCTGATGAAGGTTATAACTTCAAAGAGGACTGGAAACAGTGAGTTCCTAAACTAGTACAATTTTGAAGAAATTCTGAATTTCATGTATCTTTTGAAAATAAATGCTGTTTGGCTTTTTAGTAACACTAAATGCTAATGCTAATACAGTTTTCATCTTTTTGTGGTCTTTCCAGTTTTTCTGGGTGTTTTATTTTACTCTTAAATAACAAAAGTTATTGGCTATTGTGTATTTCTCCATTTCATTTGTCTTTGGCATAGGAATAGAATAGGAGAAAATGTGATATGTAGAAACTGTTGTACATCCTGGTTCATTTCTTGTCATCAGTCCTACTTAGGGTCTATCAAATTAGAAGAAAGCATAATCTGGTTATCTTACTGAGTATGAGACAAGTTTCTTCCTGACTGTCATACATAACTAGTCTGTTCCAGAGCACTTCATTTAATTTCTTTCTTATGACTGTCATTTCTACTTTATTAGTAATTTTGTATTGTTATATGGGTTATTTGACCAAACTACTGTTGGAAATCTCCCCAGCGGTGTGTCAGAGTAAATTGTGGAATGTAAGTATGAAAATAATTTCATTTTTTTAGTCTGAAATTACAAAATGGGAAACTTTTTTTTTTTCCAGAGAATAAAAAATAAAATATTGCTAACACTGATAGCCATAATAATGAAAGAAAAAAAAATAGCAAACTTTTTAAAATATACGTTTTAGAAATTTGGAATATGGTATTGGAAACCATCTCTACAACTCTTACTGTTACTTCTGCCTTTAATATTTGTATTTGGTATAGAGAGTAAAGGGAATAACAGTTAAAAAACCAGTTGCTGCAAAAGCTCTGTGTCTTTATCACAGGACAAACTTACTCATTTCGTGGCAGTCTGTCAATCAGTTCAAGATCATACCCTCATCTCAGATGATTTCTTTTACTCAGAGTCTAAAAGACTTGTTAATCAGGACTCTTGCACGTGATTCCTACTGAAAATGAAAGCTTTGAGTATCATCACTTTCAAAAGAAATTTGAGAGCAGCAATCCAAATTGTGTACTTTTTCATTAAAGCTTTTAAGAAGTTAGAATAAAAACATCTTTTGAATCTAGAAGGGAAGAAGAAAAAGATGATTGGGAGTGGCCTTAATATCTCCTCCTGCCCTCCTTTTTTTTTCTTCAGATGATGACAGTTTTTTTGTAAATAATCCTCTCTATGAAAGGATATGTTACCTCCTTTTATGCTCTGAAGGGAGGGAAAGCAAAGATGCCTCTTGAAAAAGAAGATGTGGAATAGTCCTTCAAGACCACATCATTTGACATTACAATACAGCACATTAGCGTCTTAACATGTAAAATGTTGGATTTTTCATATTCTATCCCAAGGTCCTTTAAAAGAATAAAAGAACCTTTTCTTTAAAAGAAAAGAAAGCCAAGAGAAACTTTTGAAAGAGAATAAAAGGAAGAAACAGCTCTCCTTTTTTATGATAGAACTGAGAGATTGTTCAAACCATATAGGATTATATAGATTTTTCAAACCATTCTTAAGTCTGTATACTATTTATACTGAAATCCCCAAATCCTATTACTAGCTGTGGTAAAACTGAGCATTACGTCAACAGCTGATTTTTAAAGTAACATTTTTCAAAACGAAAGCTGTAGTATAGCTGAATAGCTCATTGACAGTGATAACGTTCAAGTGAAATGAAATGAAGATATATGGAGATCTGTGGGCATATCTGTGTTTCTGTTATTCTTCTGAAGGTTTGTCACTTTGTATGTAGCCTTAAATATGTAATTAGGGATGCATGGATCAGAAAAAAAAGACTTTGTGTGCCCTCAATTCTCTCAGTAAATAGATTGTGTTAAAAAAAAAAAAATCTGAAATCTATATTCTTGATTAGGAAAATTTCATGTATAGTGACAACTGTCACTGAGATTAAGGAGTTGCTATGTAATCCAGAGGATGCCTGTAAAGGTAGACTAAACCCTTTCAAACACAGTTAATTGGAAATATCCCTGCTCTTCCATATATATATATATATGTATATATATATATATATATATGTATGTATATTCAAAGTCAAGGAGAAGCAGTCCCAGTGCTCAAGAAGCCAAGGTCTTTCACTTTCTTTCCTCTGAGTGATGCTAATATGACTGAGCCATCCTCATAGATCAATGAAGAGTTGGATCTTCCCCTCATGCTGCTGTGGTCACATGTCTTTCCTATCCCCTTGTATCACTCTGGTACTGTCTTCACCATTCCACAGGAAACCGTATCAGTTAAAATGTAGAACAAAACAAACCTGGCTTACCAAGCTGAACTGGCTTTCTTTGCAGCCAGGTGAACTGCAGAGAAAATGTAAGCAGGATTTAATGGAGAAGTGACATCTGCCCCGTTGGTGGCAGTGTGTTCCACTTGTTTCGTATTACCGTATCACTATTAAGACTGAGGACAGGAGGGAGGCAACAATGCAACTGTATCCCTTTTTGGATTCATGTTATTTCCAAATTTATTTGCAACATCTAGCTCAGAATGAAGTTCAACTCTGTCTTTTTGTCACAAAGTCTTTGAGATTGCTTTGCAATAGGCTTTTGTTTATCCCCGTTTCTGCTAAAAAAGTGAGGTTTGGCCTCATTTAAGAGTGTAGTAAAATTTTTGTCTTTCTATACCTTGATAACTGACTAATAAAAAATGTTAGGAGAAAAATGTAGGTAGCCATGGTGCAGAAAAGTAGAAGAAAAATTCATTCATCTTATAAAGGCAGTCTAAGTTGGATTTGGATTGCTCTGTTCTCATTGTCAGTAGCATCCGGGGAAAGAAAATAGTTCCTGTACTTTTAGCATCTCTCTAAACATAGATGTCTTCAGAAGACTAGACATTTCTTATGAAAAACATTGCATTCTAGGATTAAAGGTAGTATGAAACAACTCTAACTTTGTTCAAAATAATAATGTTAATCAAATGGAGCTGGATAATTTGAAAATGACAAGATCTGCTTTTCAAAGAACTGTTAAGACAAATTATATACTCTTAAATAGGATTTACAGAATCAGCCATCCCAAGAAAGCTGTTTACTAAACTGAAGATAAGGCTTCTTCAGTTCACTTAGACTGAACTATCTTTCAGGAGTCATTTATTGATTCTTATTCAGAATGTCTAACTGTCATAAAAAAATTCTGATACATTGTTTTACTTTATAAAGATTTCTTCAGGTGTTATCTTCCTGCACCGATATTTCCAGTAGAGGGAGCTTTACGATTACATTTAGTAGATAAATGACTTTAGTAAAATATTTTGCATTTCCAATCTAAAATGGTGTGAGTCCATATTTTTTTTTATGCAGTAAATTCATTACATCTTTGATTGGAACAGTTCAGAGAGAAGCAGAAATGGCAATCTGGTTTCTAGAAGTAAAACTTCTGTATTTACTGTTATAGTATTAAGTCATGATTCCTTTGAAATTGAAGTTCAATGTAAATTAATAAGTGTGTTACTATGGTAGTAATATCAAATCTGTCCCATTCTTTTCTTTCTCTTTCCCTGACAGTAGTGAAAGATTAGTCTGGGGAAATGGTAACATAGTTTAACATTGCTTGTTTTTAATGTTTCTCCAGTTTGTGGCTATTCCAAGAGAAACAACAAAAGAGTCACACTGAGTAAATTACTTTCGTGGCATTAAATTTAACTGGCTATTAAAAGAATCATACAATGATTTAGGTTCAGAGGGACCTTTAAGATCATCTAGTTCCACCCCCCGCCATAGGCAGGGACACCTCCCACCAGACCAGGTTGCTCAAAGCCTCATCCTGCCTGGCCTTAAATGCCTCCAGGATGGGGGCATCCACAAACTCCCTGGGCAACCTGTTCCAGCGTCTCACCTCCCTCACAGTTAAGAATTTCTTCCTAATATCTAGTCTAAATCTACCTTTGTCCACTTCGAAGCCATTTCCCCTCATCGTGTTGCTATATGCCCTTATAAAAAGTCTCTCCTCAGCTTTCCTGTAGGCCCCCTTCAGATACTAGAAGGCTGCTATGAGGTCCCCCAGAGCCTTCTCTTCTTCAGGCTGAAGAGCCTCAGCTCTCTCAGCCTGTCTTTGTAGGGGAGACGCTCCAGTGCTCTGATCATTTTCTTGGCCCTCCTCTGGACCTGTTCCAACAATCCTATGTCCTTCTGTTGGGAGTCCCAGTACTGGACACAGTACTCCAGGTGGAGTCTCATGAGAGCAGAGTAGAGGGCAGGATCACTTCCTCTGACCTGCTGTTGCACTTTTTTTGATGTAACCCAGGACACATTTGGCCTGGGCAACAAGTGCACCTTGCTGGCTCATGTTGAGTCTTTCATCAACCAACGCCCCCAAATTCTTCTCCTCATGGCTACTCTCAACCCATTCTCCACCCAGCTTCTATCTGTGCTTGGGATTACCCTGGTCCAGGTGCAGGAATTTGCCCTTGGCCATGTTGAACTTCATGAGGTTGGCATGGGCCCACCTCTCAGGCCTGTTCGGGTCCCTCTGGATGGCATTCCTTCCCTTTAGCATGTCAACTGCACTCTCATCTTGGTGTCGTCTGCAAACTTGCTGAGGGTGCACTCCATCCCTCTGTCCATGTCACCTACAAAGATGTTAAATAACACTGGTCCCAGCACTGATCAGTAAGAAAGGCCACTCGTCACTGGTCTCCACTTGGACATTGAGTCATTGACTGCAACTTTCTGTGTGTGACCATCCAGCCAATTCCTTATCCAGCAAGTGGTCCATCCATCAGGATGTCATGCAGAACAGCATCAAATTTGTACGAGTCCTTGGTCTTCCTCTTATTACTGCTACATCTGTAGAATTTCTTCTAGTTCCCCTTTATGTCCCTGGGTAGATTTAATTCCTTCTGGCTTTTAGCTTTCCTAACCTGATCTCTGGCTATTCAGACAACTTCTTTGTAATCCTCCCAGGTAACTTGTTCTTGCTTCCACTTCCCATAGACTTTGGACCAGAGTAACTCCATGATCTCCTTGGTGATCCACAGAGGTCTCCTGGCATTCTTGCCCGCTTTCCTCTTTCTTAGGATGCACTACTTCTGGACTTGAAGGAGATGGTCCTTGAAAAGTGACTGGCTTTCTTAGGCCCTTTTTCCCTCTGGGGCTTTATCCCACGTCATCCTGCCATGCAGTTCCCTGAAGAGTTCAAAGTCTGCCCTTCTGAAGTCCAGAGTAGCAAGCTTTCTGCACACCCTCTTTGACCCCCTAAGGATCTTGAACTCCACCATTTCGTAATCACTGCAGCCAAGGTTGCCCATGAACTTACTGTTCACTAGCCTCTCCTTATTGGTGAGGACAAGGTCCAGCATAGCAGGACCAATTATCTTGTTTCCTTGGCACAAAGAAGTACTTAAAAAACAAAGATTCTCCTTCAAGTTGTTTTTCAACATGTTCAGCTTTGAATGCTCATTCCTGTCTTGAATATACTGAGATTTTTGACCCAATGACTGCTCTACACTATGTTCATGGCAACAATATAGTTATATATTTCTCCCAGGTCTCAGTTTTTTTGATTGTTTGTTTGGTTTTTTTTTACTTGAGGTAGAACAGTTTTGTCCTTCCCCATCTTTCACAGATTTTCATGAAATTTTTGCAAGTTTTAATCAGTACTTTTCTAACTTTTCCTCTGTTGACTAATTGCAGGAGAAAATTAAAAAAAAAAAAAAAAAGAGGGAGTAAAATTCCATGTAAATTTATTTTTCCAAAAATAGTTAGTGTTTGAATTTTTCTTTTCAGTTGTGACCTCATCAAGTTTTCTGAGCTTTGCAGTCTTCTCCTTTTGTGATGGATTGCCAAGGATGGATGCACCAAGAATCTTTACTGCCTTGTAGAGCACCACATTCTTTTTCCTGACAAAGACAATCCATTGAATGGAAAAAAAATGTGGAAAGTTTATTATTCTGCAACAAGATAACACAATTATAGTGTTTCTCTCTGTGTTTAATGCAAGGTTGATTTGATAGAGACAGAGATTACTGAATCCTGTTCTGTTATTGTTCCGGGATCTTCCACACCAATTAGTTGTAGTTTCAAGGGCACTATTAAATTTGGAGTCATACAGTATACATGTAGGTAACCAGAAATTAAGATGAGGCTTGAAAATGCATATATATGTAAACATTGTAGTCTTGAGTTAACTGTGGTACATAAAAGCCCAATAACATTTTGTGTTAGCTAATATATTGTGTACATGAGATCTGTAGTTTATTTTACAGTTATGTTAGAAATATTACATATTGAACCATTTCTGTGTATATTTTGGGTCTTCATCGCTTGTTTTTTGTTTGTTTGCTTTTTAGTTAATTGATAAGTTCATTTTTTTGCTCATTTTTAATGATGAAACGGTGCTTTTTGATGCTGATGTCTTTTGGCTTCCATTTGGCTAATAAAAGTGGGTTATTATGTAGATAGTGGTATATTTGTGCTAACTTTGCCCGTACATTTTCAGAAACAGGTGTGTATACATTTGGACTTGGACAGTATGGGCAGCTGGGACATGGCACTTTACTTTTTAAAACTTCTGTACCAAAGTCTGTAAAACACTTAAGGAAATGTAAAATACATAACATTACCTGTGGGGAGAGTCATACTGCTGTAATAGCAGGTATGTAAGTGAAAAAATTCTGAAATGCGCTCTTAGTTTCTCTATACTGTTGAAGTATTTTTGAAGTATGCATTGTAAAATATATATTTGAAGTATATATTATAAAATAAGGGGTAGAAGAAAGCATATGTGAAGTTATTAGTTGTAAAGGTTAACTAAGATAGTGACAAAGCCAGAATCAGTTTAAGGGATTGCTGCATAGTTTTGTGTATGATATCTCCTGGGGAACTGTATCCTCATAATCATATCTTGTTAACAAGTAGTTTTGTTTAGAAGCCTTTGTTTTGCTGCACAGTTTCAGTGTTACTGTTTCTTTCTTTTTTTTTTCTTTTCAAAATTGTCTAGACTAACTCTAATCTTAGACAGTCCTTTGTCTGAAAGCGTACATATTTTTAGAGTATATTCATCTGTTGGGAATCTAAAAATAATTTTTCAGTTTTTGCTTTTGGGAGAGAAACATTCCTCACTTGCTTGGCCTGTTACTTTGTAATGTTTTTATGTTTTTGTCCTGTTTTTGTATTGAATCTCTGTTATTAATAACATCCTTTTTTTCCACATACAGAAAATGGCCTCATGTTTACTTTTGGAGATGGGCGACATGGAAAGTTAGGCCTTGGAGAAGAGAACTTTGCAAATCAGTTTGATCCTGCTCTGTGTTCTAATTTTTTGAGTTTCACGGTCCTTTTGGTAAAACTTTTTACATGCTTCACAGACATCAAAATGTTTGTATTCTTACAGAATATTACTAACAAGAGCTGAAATCTCATTATAAAATGTTTTTTTCCTACAACTTTTAACCAGTATTTAGCCTAGAGAAGTGAAGGCTTGGAGGTAATTTTATCAATGCCTAAAAATACCTGAAAGGAAGGTGCATAAGAAGTAACCAGACCACTAGGTGGTGCCCAGTTGCATAACAAGGGCACAAGGAGGCTCCATCTGACCGTCCAGAAGCACTTCTGTGCTATGTGGTTAACAGAGTACTGGCACAGGTTGCCCAGAGATGTTGTGGAATCTCTTTCTTGGAGATTTTCAAAAGCTGCCTGGATGTGGTGCTGGACAGCAATTTGCTCTAGATGTCACTGTAGTTATCTGTTGCTCGCATTTGACTTGCAGCAAAATTGCTACAATTGTTTGAAAATCAGTGGAAATAGCTTTGCTTTCTTCTGTTTCATAGAATCATAGAATTGCTCAGGTTGGAAAAGAACTTAAAGATCATTGAGTCCAACCACAACCTAACCATACTACCCTAATTCTAACAACCCTCTGCTAAATCATGTCCCTGAGCACCACATCCAAATGCTTTTTAAACACATCCAGGGATGGTGACTCAACCGCCTCCCCTGAGGGGGTATTCCAGTTTTTAAACACCCTTTCTGTAAAGAAGTTTTTCCTGGTATCCAACCTAAACTTTCCCTGCTGCAACTTGAGGCCATTTCCCCTCATCCTGTCACCTGTCACTAGTGAGAAGAGACCAACCCTGCTCTCGCTCTAAGCACCTTTCAGATATTGGAAGAGAGCAATAAGGTCTCCCCTCAGCCTCCTGTTCCCCATTTCCTTCAGTCTCTCCTCATAGGCCATATTCTCCAAGCCCTTCACAAGCCTTGTAGCGCTTCTTTGGACCTGCTCCAGCACCTCCATGTCCTTTCTGTACTGAAGTGCCCAAAACTGAACACAGTACTTAAGGTGAGCCCTCAACAATGCTGAGTATAGGAGCAGGATGACTTCCCCAGTCCTGCTCATCACATCATTCCTGACACAAGGCAGGATGCCATTGGCCTTGGCCACCTGGGCACACTGCTGGCTCACATTCAGCCAACTGTCCATCAGTACACCAAGGTCCCTTGCCATCAGACAGCTTTCTAGCCACTCCTCCCCAAGCCTGTAGGATTGCCTGGGGGTTGTTGTGGCCAAAATGCAGGACCTGACACTTGGCCCTATTGAAACTCATACAGTTAATCTTGGCCCATCAATCCAGCAATCCAGTTTTAATAGTTTCCTAGCCTTATCATATGTTTTGCTCAGTGCAAATAAATTTAATTTAACTAAGGAGAAATAAACATAGATTGTTGGTCATTAGGAGTAGTAATTATGTATTCTTATTTAAAGTAGAAACTAGATTTGAAGTAACTTAACATCTCTTATTTTTTATTCTGTTTTCTTGTAATCTACGTCACTGGTGATGATGGTAAGAAAATGAGATCCTTGTGTTGATACTTGTAAGTGAAGTAACTGAGCTTTGTTCTGTGCTCTAGGTTGCTTGTGGTGGTTGTCACATGCTGGTTTTTGCTACTCCAAGACCAAAAGAATCTGAAGAAATACTCCTAGAAGATTTATATGAGAGCCGTTTGATTTCTACCGTCTCTAAAATGAGTGGAGATTCACTAGTAACAAACACATTACAATTAACATCAGCACGAATACGACGTCGAGAGAGGGTAAATTCAGAGCTGTTGATAGTTGCCATGCTTTTTACAGGAAACTTTTTAAACTGAAGTGATAGCAAACACCTACATAAACATATCTCGTTAAAATTTTAAGAGTATAATGTTAATTTGTAAAAAGAATGAATATGCACCCTCTTCCCAAAATTGATGGGAGTAAAAGAGTAGGTATTTGCCAGATTTTAGTTGTTTATGTGTATGAAAAAGGCTCAAATTGGTTTTATGTTTTTCTTTATTCTAAAATACCATCTATTCCCTTCCATTTTTCAAAATATCTTAGAAATGTAAGAATAAATATATAGATAAAAAAGAACCTCTGAAGCCTTGGATTGCTTGAGCAACTTTGTAGTTTATGTAGTTTTGTAAGTGAAAATTATAACTCTTTTTCTTCTTTGTCTATATTTTAAGACTGATTAAAATTATTCTGTAAAATCCATTTGAAATATCCCATTATATACCTTACCAGTTTTTAGGACTATAAATAATCAAAATGTTCAAGACATCCAGTGTATATTTGTTTATACGAAGTTACAGTGTTGTATCATCAGCCAAAGGGAAGCGCCACTGTCAAGTATAGGAGGTTACTTATGTTTATTTTTTCTACTCTTATCCTCAGAATTTTCTCAATGTATTTTTCAATCTTCTAAAGGAACGGTCACCAGAACAGTTTATTCAGATGGCACGAACTCTGCCTCCACTGGGAGAACGCTTCTTACAATCTTCACCGCTTGTGACTAGCAACACCAGTCCAATATGTTTTTCTACAATAAATGTTCCTAATTCTGAGCCTGTGAAAGAGAGACATCATGAAAAAGGTGACTTGTCCCCACATTTTGCAGTTTTTTTCTGAGAACTGTATAGTTTGGCTTTGCTTAAGCATAAATGAATGCTCAGTTTGAACACAAAAGAAGGATCCAGTTCAGCCTTAACTCCTGGGCATGTATCAGAATGAGAACATAGAAGTTGCGAAGCGCATAAAAGAAATGGCCTAAACTTGGATTGTGTTTGGAAAGCATGCTTAAAGATTTAGAAGTTTAATTGAAAGAAGAACAATGGCTAAATTATACTTATGTTTCCTCAGTCCTGCAGAAATACGACTGCATAAAATACTGTGAAATCAATAAGCACTTTCTCTGTTTTCATTAAGGAAAAGAGATTACAGAGAAAAAGTGATTAGGAAACTAAATCTTAAAGACTCAGGAATGCCTAATGGAGACCTTGAGTAAGAAAAGACGTCTACTAGTTCCTATGGGAACTTTCTTCTTCCTTTGGAAATGCAAAAGTACTTGTTCACTCTCTGGTATCAAAGATAATCAGGATTCAGAATATCCAATCTCATGCCAAAGTCTGGACAACAGTGATATTGGGCTGGACTTGTGCATAGGTTCTGTAGTACAGTTCTGGACTTACCTGAGTTCCATACCATGTGTGATTTCCTGGAAGGAGGAATGCTGAAGACTGCAGTATGCAGTGTTTCCTTGTAAAAGTTAGTTCAGATTCACTGGACAGTAAAATTCAATTTGAAAGTTATTAATTCAGCCAGAATTAAGGTAATTATCTGTAGAGCTGCTAGTATGCCCATGTTGGTTCCAGGTTAAATGTTGTGGTGAAAATTGAATTGCCTTTAGGGTGTTCTGAGATCTGAAACGTTGTGGTTTGTACCACATGAAACCTAGTGAACTTGACATGAATCTGAAAATGTTGTAGGCACAATTTTATGTTGCTGCATTGGAGTTACTAAATTTGGTGTCTCCATCCATTACACAGGTAATATGCAATGTAGATAATATGACTACAGATAATTTAGTCTAATTGTTCCACTAGTATTAAAGAGATTATTAAAAAAACAAAGGCAATAAAAGCTTTGTCCCATGTAGCATTTGTGCTTTAAAAGTCTGCAAAAAATTATCACATAACAGTACACTGACACTAGATTTTTTGAGCTACATCTAATTTTAATACTTATAAAAATGAGGTGAAAGTATTTTTGCTGTGTTTTAGACTGGGAGAAATAGGAATCTCCAAACTTCAGCCTGATACCAGTAAAACAGGGATAATATAATCTCTCTTTTACAAGACTGGGGTATGCTGCTTGGTATATATCATTTGCTTAGATGCTAATTGTTTATATTTACTTTAAAGAAAAGAAGCATCAAAAAGATGAACCTGATGAAGGCTCTCCAGAAGATTCAGATGCTGAAAATAATGACAGAAACCTTGGAGATACAGCTGACATCCTAAATATGGTAAGATATTCTACTAAGTAATCTATGACTCAGTTGTTCTTGTGCACGGGGAGAACAAAGCAGCTAAGTCACGTTTCAGGTTCTAGTAAAGAATGTTTATCTAGCCCTAAACTTCATAGTTGACATCAAATGTATGGACATAGTGTATAAGTGAATAAATGAACATGCATTTCCTGACATTGGTGGAAATATAGAGAAACCTTTCAAAATGTTATCCTGCATCTTTTCCATTGAAACAATGTGAAGTTTTAAGTTACTATATGAAAACAGTAGCAATTTATTTATTTATTTATTTAACTAGCAATTTAATAGGTATTATGTGGCTTGAAAAGTATATTTAGGTTCTCCAATGAAAAAATATTTTCAGAATGTTGAAATGATGTCATTATGCAGCCTTTCATAGTTTGTTATATTCATTCTTTAACAGAGATTTCATTCTTTGCAGACGCATGTGATGAGATTGAACTCCAGTGACCAGTCCTTAAAATTATCACCAATTCAAAAACAAAAGGTACTGTAACTAATCATATATACATATGCTTATACTGATGTTTAAAAGATCTGTAATTCTTGTATGACCTGTGAACTTCATTGTTTTGCTTTGAGTTTTAACAAATACTAGACAAATTTTATAGGCCCCTCTTTCTGATGTTTGAATTTTCCATGAGGTAAAATTCCAAGAGGCTAACTGAAGTGAGAGTGGATTTGTGCAGACACATACAACTCGCACTGCCAGTGTTGTCTGAGATGACTGAGTATAATACTCTGCCACTCTAAGGGACAGGAAACCACCATAATCTTGTCACTGACTTTGTAATTTCTGGTAGTAACTTATATGTTTGTTGTTTTGTTGATAGCAAAATATTTTAACTGATGTTTGGGACAAAGTATAAGTAAAGATTTTATTTACAGAAAATCACCATAGAGTATATTTAAAAGAGCAATAATACTGGTCTTAGTTATAAAATTGGAATACTTTTGAATTACAATCCTGTTTCACTTCTAAAATGATATCAATCTTCCAGCATTTTGGTATATTTCATTACCATTTCATTCTATATTAAAAAACAAACAAACATTTTGAAGAATTTTCTAAGTAAATGCAAGTTTTAAAGCAGAAAGTCAACAGATTTTCAAAATTTTTAGAAAAAGTATAATAGTGATTGCATCAGAAGATTTCCCAAGTGGAGGACAGTGTAATGAAACTTTAGTTTTTTCCTCTATTCACACTGCGTCCTTCACACATTGCATGTACTCTAGCTATGATCATGGCTACAGAGATCTTACATTCACTTTGAGTGCTTGCATAGTGAAAAAAGAGCAGTAGATTTGCCATCAAAAGCATGTTGCATTCTTCTAATATGTGTACTTCTAAATCCATTTTATTTATAATACTCCACCTTTTATGCTATCTTTTAGTTACATCACATAAACTGTTTCTTTTCTTGTTCAGTTTTTTCTATAGTATTTTCTTTTGCTGTCGTTTGTTCTTAATGTTTTCCTTCTTTCTTTTTAATTTTCTGCTTCTCATGTGGAATAGAAGAACAATAAAAATCTGAAACTGAAAAGAGATGGTAAAGGTGGGCTGAAAACTGTTGATTTTGATTTCATGCAGAAAAGATCAGAATTAGATTCTGGTTCCTTACAAAAGCAGTCTTCACTTTCAGAGTTACCAGAACAAAATGAAGATTTAGAAAACAGTAGTGCCTTTGTAGGGAAGCCCACAGCCAAAAAAAGTACAAGGAAAAGTGAATCTCAGCATACACAAAGTGTTAGTACTTCAAAAAGTGGTGTTCAACATATTAGCAGGGACAAATGCAAATTAGGTAAAAGGGAAAAAGAATATTCAGAAAACCCTGAAATTATCAGAGAGGAAATAACGTATAGTTTTCGCAATGAAAAAAAAAATGATTCAGATAAAAAGTTAAAAGTTGTTAGGTCTAAGCAATCCCTTAAAATTGATGTACTTCCATCTGCATCCAATAATCAGCCCCAGAACGGTTCATTAATTGTAGAAGAATGCAATCTTGTTAAAAAGCAAGGAAGTCAAGAAGCAGTAGAAAGTGGAAACAAAATAAAGAATGCTGTTGAAAAATCTAATACATGTGAAAGAGGGAAACAAAGTACTGAAAAGCAGAGGGAGTTTAAAAAAAAGGACCCATTATTTAAACAAATAGCTGTAACTACATCATCGTCTTCAAGTGAAGAAAATAATAATGATCTTGCAAAATATGTTCTTAAAAGTAGGGAAAATGAAGGGTACTGCTATGAATACGGAGAGATCCGGAAGTCAATAAAAACAGAAAATGTAAAAGATCTGGAATTACAAAAAGAAGGCAGTGAGATTGAAGGGATGCAAGCTGCAAACAGTGAGAAAGAGTATGTAGAAGCCATTGATACAAAAAGCCTGAATGAGGAAGAGACATACTCTGAAGCTAAATTTGATGAAGATAGACAGTTAGAAACAAAAAATGATCAGGAATCTAATGAAGAGCAGGAGAGCGAAGACAGTGAAGAAGACGAAAGTGAAAAAGAAAATGGATGTCAACTGAATGAAACAGTTGACAGTGAATTTGAAGTAGGGGGGGAAGATGAAGAGGCTGAGGTTGAAAAAGATACAGACAAAGTCATTTCAGCAGAAAGTGATGAAGCCGAAGGGGGAAAAGATAATGAAGAAAATGAACAAGATGAATCACCAATCGAAAGAGACGGTGTAAATGGGGATGCAGAAGAGGTTGAAGTAAGTCATGAAAAACATGTCACAGCTCAAGGAAATGAAGAAGACAGATTGATAGAGGAAGCAGAAATACAGAGTGAGGGAGAAAAAGAGAATATTGAAGAAGAGGAGGAGCATGTAAAAGAGAAACAAAGTGAAAAGGAAGAGGAGGAACAAGATAAAAGTGAAGGAAGAGATGAGAGTGAGGAAGGAGGTGAAAATACAGAGGAGGAGGAACAGAAAGGGGTTGAGGCAGAACAGGAAGGAGAAGATGGAAAGGAAAGTGAAGAAGAAGAAAGGGAGACTGAAGGAGATGGTGAAGAGGAGTTAGAAGGAGCCTTGTCAGGGAGCGAAGAAGAAGAGAGATCCAAAGTAGAATGGAAGGAGGAAGATGGAAATAAGAGGGCTAAGGAGATGAGGGAGGATGGAGTAGAAGAGGAAGGAGAAGAGGGGGAGGATGAAGTAGAAGAGCAAAGAGAAGAAGAAGAGGAGGCAGAGGAAGGAGCAGAGATAGAAACTGAAGGGGAGAAGGGAGAAGAAGATGAAAACAAGGAAGAGGAGGAGGGAGGAAATGAAGAAGAGGAAGGAGAAGAAGAAGATGGTGAAGAAGAAGAGGGAGAAGAGATGGAAGAAGATGAGGGAAAAGGAGTGGAAGAAGAAGAAGTAGAAATAGAAGAAGAGAATGAAGAAGGAGTAGAAGAAGAGGAAGAGGAAATTGAGGAGGAAGAGGGAGAGGGAGCTGAGGAAGAAGAGGGAGAGGGAGCTGAGGAAGAAAAGGGAGAGGGAGCTGAGGAGGAAGAGGGAGAGGAAGAGCAAGAAGAGGAAAAGGAAGAGGGAGAAGAAGAAAAAGGAAACCAGGAAGAAGAAGAAGAAGGACGGGAAGAGGAGGAAGAAGTAGAGGAAGTGGAAGAAGGAGGAGATGAAGAGGATGAGGACGAGGGTCAGGAGGAAGAGGAGGAGGATGGAGAGGGAGAAGAAGGAGAGGAGGAAGAAGAAGAAAAAACAAAAGATGAAAGAAGAATTGTTAATAATAAGCTTCCACAAAAGAAAAGCAAAACCAGGAAACCAGGGAGGACAGGAAGTTCTGCTGTAGCAAACAGCTCCAAACAAAAAATGAAGTCAAAACAGCGCGTGGCAAATGGTTTGCATAATTCAGAACAATTTTGGAACAATGTGCTGCCTCATTATTTAACGCTGAAATAGTATAGACTAGTGGAGATTCATCTTGAGTCTACTCAGGAAAATCTGAAACTACAGCAAATTGATTTTTAAATGTATCCAAAAATTTGTTATACATATATTTTAAGTGCCTATTTATTGAAAAAGAAGATGCATGGATTTGAGAAGCTTTTATGAGATAAATCATATACTTTGTTGATAAAATCATTTAAACAGTCATCTTTATCATATTTGACACAGATTTAAAAGAACTACTAAGGAGGCAGGATGTGTTTGCCTGCAATTATAACTTCATGCTGATAATATGAATTATACATTGTAACAGTGTAATCTTTGCATCTGAATCAGATTTCCTGAGGTAATACATGAATTTTAGTTGCAGCTTACGTGTTAATGTGCCTGATATGAAAAGAATGTCAGTAAATCAGTAAGGATACATAATTTAAAATTTTGGTATCACTCCATTTTCATTCCCCCTATTCATATATAGTTAGAATGTTTGTTCAAATACTCAGCATAAGTTAGAGGACAAGTTGCCAAGTATAGATGGGTCAGTAGATGAGAGGAAAATGGAAATGTAAGCCTGGGCAAAAGGTGGCTTGGGCTTTTCCAAAGGCCTTAAAGGTTGACTTCATAATGTCAGCACACAATTATGTGCATAAAAGCTGAATATAAACCTCAGAATTTTGTCTAGATTGCATTATAAGAGAATACATTTTCTTTAGTGATAATTTTCAGTTGCTACTTTTTTTGATTTGACATAATTAAGAATTTGAAAATATACGCCTGTAAAACGTGATTTACTTGTGTATACTATGCAATACAAAAAAGATTCAATAGCTGCCTACAAAAGACTAAAATATGTTAGTCACCTAACTCTAAGGTTCTCAAGAAGCGGATTATATTTTGTTACAGAGTGAATTACATATCTGTTTTTTAAAAAGAGAAAGTATGCTAATACTTATACACAAACAAATCTTGAAAGATATTTTTGGTGCTGCATTATTGTTATTAGAGTCTGAACCAGCAAAAGAAGGGATATGAACTCTTGTCATTCAGCATTATTAGTTAAGTACTATGCTAATGGTTGGTCTGAGAAAATTTTATAAACATCTCTTAAGTATTCACTGGAATTCACTGGAAGAATTGCTATTTAAACATTATTTAAAATGGATACTGAAGAAGGAAAACAAAATGAGTAAATGCCACTCAATAAAAATGTTAACAGAATCAATACTTATATTGAGATTATGAAGCATTTTTAATGTAAGATATTAACATTAAACTGTCTTTGGCACAATGTCTCCAGAATTTATTTTCTAAGAAGGCATTGGTAGATTAATGCTTTGCTAGTGCATTCTAGTTCTGTTCAATCCTTCCTATCTGAATCACCCTTTCCATATACCATGTTTGAAGGTAAGATCGATTTCAGTTGCATGCTGTATGTAATAACTAAAATAAAAATAGTTAGTCCAGTGACTTTATTTTGTCCCTGTGAAATTAATTTCAACCTTTATAACTTTCTGGAATACATTGTCTTGATGTGGGTATGGATGGGTAAGTCTTGGAAAAAAAGGTAAGTATAGTGATATTATGATAGAGGGGAATATTTTAAC